ATTGAGCACGCTATTATCAACACTACACACACACCTCAATGCTCAAACCCAACTTCTGCCAACACTCCATGTTCAACTCGGCCTACCACAAACCGCCCTGGAAGATGAACTGCAAACATTACAGCATACCCTGACCAAGGCCGTTGAGTCTCAGATAGAGGTGCGGAGGAAACAAGTGGATGATTGGATAGGAAAATGCGAGGGAGTGGAGTCTGGTTGTGCTCGCTATTCGAGAGCGCTGGGCACGCATGCTAAAGTTGCTGGATCACTTAGCGATCTGAAAGCTGAGAAGGTCTTACCAAGGAGATATGAAAGCGCCACCGTGTACCAGGAGAAACTAAGACAGGTCAGCCGGATCTTTTGTAGCCCTGATCTACTGAGATGACAGTCTCTTAGATCTATCATACGAAACTCGAACAGCTCACAACGTTGACCAATCGCCTGAACGCCCTCGCGCGGACGCTGGGCTCCCATTTCTTTCAACAAGATATCTTAACTCCAGCGGTAGCTGCTACTGAGGAAACAGACAACCCTACAGCACTACGAGATGTCATGCCTGAACGTTTCTCCAAACTTGAAAAGGAGCTTGTACGAGGAAAAGGTGAAGTGGTGAGTCAGTCTTCCCTTGTTTATCTCCATACTGTTGATCATAGGTCTACAGCTGAAGCGACTAAATCAACTGGGTGAAGTCTTCACCCAGATCGACTGGCTTTACTCAGAACTAGGCATCGATCCTCCCCCACCCACTGTCGCAACACCAGTTGCCACCTCATCTTCAACACTTGCTGTACCGAGATATTCTCTGCCACGATCTTCATCTGCTGGTAGTACACGTCTCAACTCGAGTGCAGATCCATTTGCATCCTCAACTATCGGACCATCGACACCCACTCCTTCATCGATCGGGACATCGGACAACCACATGCTTTGCCCATCGTCCTCTCCCCCACATCCCTCTATAGCCCTTCCAGAAGCCCCCGAGTTTCCCAACGAACATGAATACCTCAGGTCCCTCGGACGCTTCATCGAGCTTCTCGACTCATCGCCGCAAGACTCGCCATCTGGAACAATATTAAATTCATGTGGTATTGAACCGACACAGGGGATATTGGCTTGGGCTGAAAGATTGCATGCCGAACTAAACGAACTCAAGAGACGCCGCGAAGTGCACATCCAAGCTATGTATGATCAACTGGAGGCGCTTTGGCGACGGATGGGTGTGGGCGAGGAGGCTATGGATGGTTTTGTCGAGGCGAATCGAGGAACGACGCCTTCTGTGGTCCAAGCGTATGAAGAAGAACTGGAGCGCATGATTGACTTGAAGCGCGAGAGAATGGGCGAGTTTATTGCTAATGCTCGAACAGAAATTGAGAGCCTGTGGGAGGAACTCGTGGTAGGGGAAGTCGAGCGGAATGATTTTGCGGCGTTCGCTGATGGTGATTTCGTTTATGTCACGTTCTTCGTGGAGTTTTTACTGATGAGATGTCATAGATGAACATACAGAAGATTTGCTGAGCCAGCATGAACATGAGATCGCCCGCCTGAAAGCAGAAGTGCGGCTGAAGATGCCACTGCTGACGTCGATAAAGAAGTACATGGAGATTTGTGAGGAAGAGAAGGAGCTAGAACGCGTAGCCAGCGATCAGACACGCCTTCTAGGAAGGGGTGGTGGGCGAGATCCCGGCAGATTGCTCCGGGAAGAGAAGATGCGAAAGAGAGTTGGGAAAGAGAAGCCCAAGGTTCGTCAGTTCCTGTTCATACTCTCCACCTTCCGTCTAATTCTTTTCCGCGCAGCTTGAACAACAACTATTGTCTTCACTGCCTACATGGGAGCAAACGCACGGGCGAGCTTTCCTCGTGCATGGCGAAAGCATGCTCCAGTTGTTGATGGAGAATGCATCGGCGAACGAACAGGAAAACCGCAAAAGAACGCCTACTTCTCAGTATTCTGCGCAGGCTCTCAACAGGGGGGTTTCGCAAAGCCTGAAGCCCGCCGCTGCCGCCAGCAATGGGGCAAATGTCGCTTCCAAAGGAGGATATGTCCCTGGCAAATCCAACACATCTCATCACGGCGTGGTAACACCCGCTGTTCGGCCAGGGTCATCGATGTCTTCGAACACCCACGGAACCAATAAACGCCAGAAACTCGCTGATGGCACGCATCGTACCGTAGCACGTCCAGGATCTCCCACAAGAGGCCGCACACCCAGCGGCAATTCAACTATCCCACGACCAACCACGCAAAACGCAGCGCATATGGCTTCCCAATCAAAGAACTTGCAGGGGTACGCCGCACTTGGATGGGGCCGAAATCCTTCGACGATGCCACGATCAACATCACATACGAGCGTAACACACCTTAACTCGAGCGTGAGCTCGCACTATCTTTCGAGCTCACGATCGTACAACTCCGCTTCGATGGCGTCCAGCCATTCTAGGGAGTCGGCAGCTAAAAAGATGGTGGGTCGCATTCGCAAGGAGAGCTTCAAACCACGGCCGAGTATCGACGGCGGTAGTGGCGTTGTGGGATGGAAGAGCGGGTTTCGGGGGATGAGCGTTGCAGAGGAGGACGGATGCTGAGTATGATATATGACCTCCTGCATTCTTTTTTCTCTTTTCATTTTCTCTCTTTCAATTACCACCTTCGTTTATCGTTCAAGCCCGGCCAGCTTAAACTTACGTTATTTGTATAGAATTATGAACTATGTATGCCTGTTGTACTCTACCTTCCTCGACGGAGTCTTTGTTGGGGAATCTGTTTTGGTCCCCGTTATGTATTGTGATCAAATTGTGATGCATGATAGTTGGTTTCAAATATGTAAACTTTCAGGTACCCTGCGTGCATGAGCCTCGCTCCAAGTTGCTCCAAGTGGTGCTAGTGGCTTCAGGGCGTCGTGACAGTCACAACCGTGTATTTTTGCTGAGTCCAACTCTGTAGGTCACCTATGCATGAACAGGTTGTTCCGAACTTTCAAGTTCCTCCTGCGGCTGGGCGATACGCCGATACTATTAAGTTCGCAATCATGCTAACAAGGCGAGCTTCTCTCATACTAATGAACAGGTCACAAGCTCAGGATTGATCATGAGGACGCACTCTACCGACAATGGGCGCAAATGATCTAGTAAGTGATCGTCGCACCCCTTTATTGGGTGTCCTTCGAGTCTTATCTATCGAGCGCTCTCTTGCTTTCTCCCACTTCCCATAAACTCCTGCAACTCACAATGTCTACCCTGCGAAATGCGCCTGCTGGTACACGTCGAGCATATCCCTTTCGCCCTCCCAGAGTAACAGAGTCCGTACAACCTGATACCTCGTTCATTCTCAAAGACCTTGGGGACAAGGTAGCCAAGTTCAAACGGAGCACAGATACTCTTAGTCCTGTGGAAATCACAAACGTCAAGCCTATCGCTTCATACTCATGGATCGAGGCTGCAACCCCAACGATTGCCGTTCCTGGTAAGCATATCAGTCCATGTCTGAGTAAGATCAGGTTGATCAGTGACTTGTTGATGTCTAGGTTCTCCCAGAGTCTGGTTCGCAGGCCCCAAGCGCGTGCCGGCTGACTCTGGAACACGCTTTATAGATCAAAATGCATTCTACATGCGAAAAATGTCTCCCCTCATCCCCTTGTTTGCAGCCATCGATGATATGGATCCTAGTTTCGACTACAAGCAGTTTGACTTCATCACGGACCGCAATAACCTTCGCAAGCTTTTCCGCTGGGCCAGTGGCTCACCGGATGAGAAAGACTTTCGGATCGATGTCGATGTAGCGGGATCGACGTGCTTGTTGACACGCCTTGAAGCGCAGAACACGGACACCGTGCAAGGCTTTATGGGGTATGGACATGAGTACGAGAAAGCAGCAACGAGAACCACTCGCGGCTGCGAGAGAGCTACTGGACATCATCGGATGATTTCCATCGTAAGACTCTTGCGTTCTCAATCGGGTCACTTATCGCAACATATTGTATTTGACAGGACATTGGTGAACTGAAGATTCTCCTTCGTTTCACGATCGAGGCATGCACATCTTCCAACAATGACACAAACGACGAGGACGACCTCCTAGCAGCCTTCTCAGGCCTGGGTATTGGTGGAGCGTCTGTCTCCAGCAGCCGGGACACTAAGAAGCCTCAAGCTACGGCCCAAACCGTCCGTGGCGTCTCCATCACCCAAACAACTCCACGCAAAGTCGTCCCGCAAGCCTCTCTCATCGAGCTCAAGACACGCGCTGCCCACCGGGAGATCGACTGGGTAGAAATTTATCCACAGCTCTATCTTTCTCAGACAGCATTCTTGTATATCGCGAAGCACGAACGCGGCAACTTCGACACCCTGGAAAAAAATGAGCTTGGCTCGGAGAGCATGCAGACCCATGCTCGCCATACTCAGCAGGGTGTCGCGAAGTTGAAACTTGTGCTTCAGGATATTTTGGATGCTGTGAAAAAGGAAGATTCGGGGGTGGGCTTGAGTTTGGTGGCAAAGGAAGGCAAGCTGGCATTGTACAAGCGCCATGAGGGGACTGGAAAAGGACCGGGAAAAGATATCACAGACAAATTCAATTAATGTGAGATTGCGATCTTGGTAAGTGGTATCAAAGCGACCTTTCGACAACTTCGCGGTGTAGGATATGGCTTCAGCGATACTTTGGTATTGTGATCGAATGTAAAAGACGGCTATTGCCTCATACAGGATTGATGCAAGTGCAAGACCTCACGCAAAACATTGGAGTCCAATTTCGGTCGCTGGACACAGAAACGCGTTCTTGTTGCGGACAATGACGCAACGGATACTGGCAAGTTGGCACTCTTGTCCACATATTCAGCGCAGGACCTTAGACAAGACTCCTGACTTGAATTCAATCAATCACTGAAAATTAACGTGGCCGACGCTGGGGAATACTAAGAAATAACAACAGACGAACGGAACGAGAGTAACAGATGCCGGCTGGATGGTATATTACATTCTATATTTATCTACATGGGGGAAATGTCACCCCGTCATGTCCTAGGCTATTCGTAGCTTTGAGCGATGCAATGAACCCTAGCTTCGCAGCAACTCGACTTCATCGCAGATCGCAATAGTCTTCGCATGCTTCTGCCAGGCATACCAGATGAGAAAGACTTCCGCAATACGCGGTCGCTCATATACAACAACCCATACAAATGTACAACCGTGTTCAATACCTGGGGCAGGCTCTACATATAAATATGAAGGATGCAGAAAATACATGCTCGAATGACAAATGCTGTCTGTATGATTCGCATCACTACCAGCAGGTCTATGCTTCATCCGGCTGGTCAGCTGTCTCACTGCCTCCAGGTTGCGTGTTGGATTCGTGTGGACGGGATGTAAATTCTATTGAAGTCATTGATCGGGAGGTGCGCGGTTGCTCCATGCTCACATGAAGATTGAATAGTATTCGAGAAGAAAGGACACTGTGCGCAACGATCTGAGGTCTAAATGAGGAATGTGAGCTTTCGACACCATATATACTTGACCAGACTCACGTGTTTAGCATTTCGCTGTACGAGAGCTATGGGGTTGACTCAGTCCTTCGAAATCGACGGGAAAAAAAAAAGAACTCACAGGCAAGACAGTGATAACGATCAAATTAACCGTAGATATCACTACAAAGATGTCAGCGCAAAATAAATAGTAACAATGGTGTTAATACTTGTGATACAGAACATGTAGAGTAGTCCATCACGATAAATACTCTTCACCAGCGCACTATGAGAACCTAAATAGTGTTGATATCTCAAAAATACAGTGATGGTCATGAGAGCTAGAAGTGAATCATCAGGTATGAAATTTTGAATCAACAATCGCCTCACCTATCTCGAAGAACGTCAATAGTCCATACGAGAGGGCGCTGCTACGAGCGCCTTCAAACATGCAAGGGGGACCGACTGAAAGGGGATGAATACTAAGACTAAAAGTAAGCCTTGAGACCTCACATCCCGGGATGTTCAAATTGATGGGGGCGGCACTTAGAATTACAGATGTCACCAAGATGGCCTACGCCACACGGGTCAGTGGTGCACAAGGAAATAGAGATATCGTTGTACCAAACCAAAGGAGAGAAGAACTATAAGATAAGTCTTTTTATTGCCGGAGAAGGCGTAGACCCTGGTAATCAACAAAACTGTTGTGCGAATGTAAATGCACGTTGTAACGTGGTATGCAAAAACTGACCTTCTGAGGCAATGATGCCCAAGAAGTGTGCTCCTGCGAAATGTCATTGCCACGTCATGTCATGAAAACGGTCTGGACCAACCATTTACAGCATCGTTGAAAGGTGCACACTAGTACATGTCGATGTAAGTTGCAATTTGGCGCTGGACAGATCAAAGGTGTACTCACATCTTCCGTGCCCCATTTTTTGACAGCAGCTAGTTAGGAATCAGCTATTGCATAATAGCGCGCACCGGCGTATCTCACAGTATGATGTCATAAGTGCACCAGCAAAAGGTACATATCGTGAAATCATGAAAGTAGCCCGAATGGTTCCCCATTTCCGTCCCCAGGTCCATTGGACCTACATAAAATGTCAGCAGGGTAGGAATGACTGATTAGTCTGAGTCTGACCTCAGAGTGTAAGGTGACAAAGTAGTCGTAGATCTAGCCACACATCAGAGATATAATGAGACCAAAGAGACATGACTCACTAGGATTGCTGATGCAGCGACTTTAAGAGAGTCGTGAATAACGATAAAATTAGCGTCAGCCTGACTCACCGTTAGTATACTTCAATAATTAGAAACATTAGAGAAAGGCTGCACAAAAAGCATGATTAGATTACCTTGGCTAACTGCAAACCGAAGTTGTCTGAGACCGACATTTTCGAGTGGCACGGCAGGTGAATCATGAGGGAAGTCTGCAGCAAGTAGTTGCCAACAAGTACTCAGGCCGTAGCGCCGTGCACTGCAACATGGCTATGATGTGCAGTTAGCTAGAATGTGAAGGCGCCATTGAGAATCATGATATCTTGAGTCACAAGGGGTGCATCAGGCAACGAATTTTATATTCGAAGTTCACATGAATCGCGTGGATCAGCAATTATATCGGCTGACGGTTCCGAATTGGTGATAACAATCAGCATTAGGCCCTTTGAATTTCGTCGTGACAAGTACTTATAGACCGACTTACTTCGTGCTTTTTGCAGCTGCCATAAACGGGAATTTGAAGGCGAGCGGCACGGTAGACGTGGATGATGGTGATTAGTAGGAAAAGTCTGGTTCGGTCCGGTTCTCTCAGTTGTCTCCATAGTACCAAGACACTCTGCCACGACAAATTGGCTACTCGTTTTTCCCTTTCCCCCCATATCTCTGATACTCCACCAGTATGCCCACACTCGTTATGCCATAGGACTTACCAAGTCCGTTCTATTCAGACGCTCAACTTCTTTTACCAACTTCAAGTTCTAGCGCAGTATCAGAGCTGGGACCGGAAAAGGGCCGGAAAAGACATCATAGACCAATTCAATCGATGTGGGATCCTGTCCCGGGTAGGTAAGTGGCACCAAAGCTACCCTATAAGATATGGCTGAAGCGATACTTTGGCACCATTGCAATTGAATGTGAGACCGTATTTGTTGCTACACAGAATGCACACAGGGTTGATGCATTATCGGTGATTTGTGGGACAGATGCAGCTTGTCCATGCAAGTATTCAGTGCGCAAGACCTTGAGCAAAGATTCCCGAGTCCAATCACGGTCAAACTCAAACATTGTACGTTATGGAAGACTAAAATTGACAAACAAACGGAACGGAACTGTGTTTTCATCCGCAGACGAGGACGCGACGGATACCGGCTGAGGCTCATGTACATCTTCACTGATATCTATGTTCGTTTTAGACGGGGGAAATGTCTTCCCCTCTCATCTCATACTAGGCTATTCGCAGTAGTGGCGAGATACGAATGCTAGCTTCACACCAATTCGATTTCATCACAGATCGCAATAGCGCTCGCAAGGCTTCTCCGCCAGGCCAGTAGCTCGTGTGGGATGAGAAAGACTTCTGCAACACGTGTTCGCTCATATACAAAAGAAGATACATATGTATAACTGAGTTCAATGATGCCGACTCCACGATACGTATAGGAATGCGGAGTCCGTCGTGGGGTCTCGGACCCTACCTATATAACAACAAACCAAAAAGGTCTTCCTCGTCGATATGTTTGTTAGCACGGAGAATGCATGCACCTAGGTAGTGGCTAGCTCACCACTATATGAAGGCGGAAAATACAAGCTGAAATGGGTGAGCATAATCAGTCATCTCAAACGACAAGCGCTATGTGTATGACTTGCAAAACTATCTGCAACCTGCAGGTCTACATTTCATCTAGCTGACCAGTTGTCTCACTGCTTCCAGGTCGTGCTTTGAATGTATGTAGATGGGATTGCAATTCCACTGAATCTGCCGCTCGGTTGGTGAGCAAGAGCGATGTCTCCTTGCTTTCTTGAAGATTGAATAGTACTCGAGAAGAAAGAACACTGTGTGCAACAATCTGAGGTCTAAAATGAGGAATGTGAGCTTTCGGCAACATATATCCACCTATGTGCTTGACCAGACTAACGTGTTTAGCGCTTCGCTGTACGAGAGCTAGGGGTCTACTCAGTTCTTTGAGGTCGACCAAAACAAAGAAAGAACTCACAGGAAACGCAGCGACAACAATCACATTGACTGTAGATATCACTATAGAGATGTCAGCACGACATCAATATTGACAATGGCGTTAATACTTGTGATGGATAATGTGTAGAGTAGCCCATCACGATATACACTCTTCATCAATGCACTATGAGAACCCCGATAGTGTCGATGTCTCAAATGTACAGTGGTGGACATGATAACTAGATGTGAATTATCAAGTAAAGAATTTTGAATCAACAGTCGTCTCACCTATCTCGAAAAACATTAAGAGTCCATACGGGAGGGCACTGCTATGAGCCCCTTCCAACACGCAAGGGGGACCGACTGAAAGGGGATGAATAATAGGAATAAAAAGTGAGCCTTGAGACCTCACCTCCCGGGATGTTCAAATTGATGGGGGCGGCACTTATAATTACAGACGCCACCAATATAGCCTGCACCATACGAGTCAGTGGTGCACGAGGGAAGAAATATATCGTTGTACCAAACCAAAGGAGAAAAGAACTATAAGATAAGCCTTGTTGTTGCCGGAGAAGGCGTAGACCCTGGTGATCAACAAAACTGTTGTGCGGATGTAAATGTATGTTGTAACGTGGTATGCAAAACCAACCTTCCGAGGCAATGATGCCCAAGAAGTGTATTCCTGCGAGATGTCATTTCCAAGTCATGTGATGAAAGCGGTATGGACCGACCATTTAAAATATCGTTAAAAGGTACACACTATACGTCGATGTGAGTTGCAATTGGCGCTGCATAAATCAAAGGTGCACTCACGTCTTCCGTGCCCCATGTCTTGAGAGCGGCTGGTTAGGAATCAACTTTTGCACAGTAGCGCGCACCAGCGTATCTTACAGTATGAGGTCATTAGCACACCAGCAAAAGGTAAATATCGTGAAATCGTGAAGGTAATCCGAATGATTCCCCACTTCCGTCCCCAGGTCCATTGGACCTACAAGAAATGTCAGCACTAGGGCAGTAGTGACTGATTAGCCCGAGTCTGACTTCAGAGTGTAAGGTGACAAAGTAATCATAGATCTAATCATGCATCAGAGCTATACCGAGACTGAACTTGAAGAGATACGACTTACTAGGATTGCTGATGCAGCGACTTTGGGAGAGTCGTAAATAACGATGAAATTATCGTCAGCCTGACTCACCGTTAGTATACTTCAGTAATCAGAGACATCAGAGAAAGGCTGCACAAAAAAACGATTAGATTACCTTGGCTAACTGCAAACCAAAGGTGTCCTGGATCGACATTTTCGGGTGGCACAGCGGGTGAGTGGAAGTCTGCAAACAAGTATTGTGACTCAAAACCAGAGAACCGGTGAGAAGAAGATATCATAATATATAGGAAAGGCATTCGAATATAAAATAATATATGACCCTGTAAGAGCACCAACACGCCTGTGATCGTCGACGGCAAATATCGAGGACTACCCTGCCAAGCGTGCAGTAGCCTATGGCGCGAGGGTGCCTTTTATGATCATGATATCATGATGCCTGTGGCACACTGCACATGATGATCGGATTCTTGAAGGGATGTTCAATTCTAAAATATCGTTGTCAATGATTCAGGGGAAAGATTTAGAAAGAGGGGCCAGTGGAAAGGTTTACTAGGAATAATATATGGAAAGATTTGGGAACTAATAGTGCAAGAAAAGCTTGTTTGGTAGTAACCAAACTTGAGCTCTATACAGTGAAGATCAGGACGAGGATATTCTGCGCTGAGGGTGTAACGCGATGGTGGCCAGATCAGGAAAGGTCCAGTGTCCCGCGTCAGTAATTTACGAGAAGGTCAAGTCAACAACATTAACGATGTCATTTTAAAATTGAATATCCCTGTATATAATACCCTCGAGTATTTTATGTAAGTCTGTCATGGAGGTCCGCCGATACTTACTGTGACCAGTTGTTTTATCGATATGCTGCACGATTATGTAAGGAAATCTCACGTCCCAGGATCCTTACAGTTTCCTCAACTTCTATCACAGTATTAGAGCGAGCTCCAGCTCAATCGCTATTGACAGCTTTTGCTCACAACATGCTTTTTTTATTGCTTGGGAGATCACGAGGTATAGAAATTGTTCAACTAGGCTTCATTTGGATTCTTCACGGCGGCTGCGTCTTCCCTATGTGTCGAACCATAATTTCCAACCAGACTACCATTAGGTTCTTTCGTGGCCGAAAACCTCCACATGTCTACCTGCAGTAGTGCTTGTATTAAGTGATACAACTGTGTATCCAAGGTTCATTATCGGGATTGTCCGGACACAACAAGGACATGGCAATACCGTCCGACCAAGCGAAGTCCTAGACGACAGCGCCGCCCCCTAGTTTCTCAATGATAATGAAAAAGTGACAGTACGTGAGAAGGTAGGGTATTGGTATGGGCCTGACGCGCATCTTATGTCGCTCGAAACGGCCCAGGGTTGTACTAGTGTGTATGTTCAACTGAGACTTGTCTGGTTTAAGGCTAATCAAATATTATGTCTGCTCACATCTAGATAATGCTACATTGATGTTTACTTGAACTATAAAGTGCGCGCACCGTGATCATTGCAGTTACATGTATCATCGGTTTAAGCCGCGTATATCTGCTTGCTCGAGAGTGTAAATTCTGATGGCATCATAGCGGAACCATGGTTGCTCTACACTCCAGAATATGTCGAATTTCAATGATCTAGAGGCCAGCCTTGAACTCTTTTTCCATACCATCAACTCTTCTGCACGCCAAGCGATTGCAGGATACAAGAAAACCAGACATAGGGTCCTTTGTGCCGATGCGACAACCTTTCACCCCCTTGACCTGACGACAGATATACAGACCCTCAAAAAGGCGATCAGGTAGCTCGAAGGTGCATACCATCAATTGTGCATACCATCAATTGAGCTCAATACTGGCATCCCCAACACACGGTCGTGGGCGTGAGTACTGACCCGTAAATCATTTCTGCTCTGTTGCTGATTATGTTGGCTTATATTCAATCATAACTGGGTGTCCAAAGGCGTTGCCTTGCAAGAGCGCATTGCAGATCTCCTGGAAAAGGTCTTGGCATGGATAGGCTGGCTTACTCCCATCCTGGCGTACGGGAACCCTATTCTGCCAAATCCAAGGAGTCAACATGATCCAACTTCTGAGCGTCATTATATCGGCCATCGACATTACAAATGACTTTGATCCGCGGTTCCCACTGACCTGGCGGAAGGTATCCTTGGAACGATCGAGAATATTCTTACTCTTGCACAGGTGCGTTGGCGTAATACACCCACAAAGAGATCCTCACGTCTGCACAGTCAGTGATCGATATAGTCCTGCGAGATTTAAGAAATACAAAACTATTAGGAATGTCTTGAAAGAGTGACCAGACCACGGATGCCAGCGAAGACGGTCTGCAAGGATCTTTGGGAAATTCCCTAATATGTGAGTGTGAGCCACATTGATTTCACGGTTGTCGAAAACCGATGATGCAGGCATACAAATCGGAAACTGGAAGGGATTGCCTTTGTGCTTGGTGGATTCGCGTTAGTTTCACGATTCTTCACAGAAATATGGTGTGCGCTGAGATGGGAGTGCGACCTTTGCAAATCTGGCAGCGATATAGAAGTAGCAGGAATAGGATAATAGGGAAAGCACATACGGCTACCAGACTTCACATGAGGTGAGTTCATGGTACGAGAGATTGGACCGGGGAGATTGTCTTTGAGAGGAATGATTTGGTATTAGCTGCACGGTGATTTGCAAGAGACACGGTGCTTGTGCACGGAGATGGGAATGCCTCCGAGAAGATTGCACGGCATAGCATTCTACGCACTGCCGGAATGATTCGAGGGGTTGACATTATTCGCGGAAAGGCGTCTACCATTGGCAAAAATCAATATGTAAATGATATACGGTAAGTCGCAGGCTGCAGCACAACACACTGGCAGTATCTTCGGTCCATATGTACTGCCATTACTACCCCTTGTAGAGTATGAGAGTACGACCCCTACTTCTTGTTTAGCTCCTCTGCCCTTTTATGAAGTTCTTCACGACTCTACGAACAGCTATGAGTAAGGGGTCCGATGTTCAAAATACATCTTTACGAACCAATGGGGCTTCGAGGCTATTGACGATGTCCTTGCTAGGCACATGCGGGTCCCGAGCATGGTAGGCGTGGAACTCAGGCTTGCTGGTCAAACCCGCATCACGCCCGACTAGGTCTGCCGGGTCATTAGACTTCTAAATCGAACAATCAGCAAAACTATAACTAGAAGGCGAAAGCAGCTGCATACAGCAGGGTGAGGGAGGATGCTGAATTGTTGCTGCTGCTGTCCCTGTTGGCGACTGGGTGAAGTTGTGGTATCTTTTGTTTGTTGAGACATTTGTTACAGGTAGTAGTAGAAGGAGAGGAAGATCGCAGCGAGTTGGCTCCCCTATATACGCACCTGCGGAGCTAATCATACTACGGATGACATCATTCCACACGTGACAATTTAACAGACTGGTTGACATTATGTAGCAATTGAACCAAACATGCAACTCTTTCTGCAGACCGGGTCACTTGAGTAGAAAAAGATCGATAAGAGTATACGTAAGTAGGATGCTGAAGTAAAGTTCATTGTACAGGATGCGTTCCACATCATTTCGATAGCATCATCTTTTGAAAGGTCAGGTTTCTGAAATTGGAATACTATGGACGAAATGCTAACCTTCACAAATTCTAAACCGATGCGACACAATTGACATGTGAGTACAAATCAGTATGATGCAAAAAGGAGACGAACCATCGTAATTGATCTGACCATCGCCATCAACGTCTGCCTCACGAATCATTTCATCGACCTCAGCATCAGTCAATTTCTCGCCTAGAAATGGCATTAATTCAAAATTGATATCCGAGCATCACCACTGACCTAGGTTCGTCATGACATGTCTCAGCTCAGCAGCGTTGATATAGCCGTTCCCGTCCTTATCGAAGACTTTAAATGCCTCTTTAATCTCTTCTTCACTGTCCGTATCGCGCATTTTGCGTGCCATCATTGTAAGGAACTCTGGGAAGTCGATAGTACCGTTCCCATCAGCATCAACCTCGTTGATCATGTCCTGTAGCTCCGCTTCGGTGGGGTTTTGACCTAGTGAGCGCATCACAGTGCCGAGCTCTTTGGTAGTGATCGTGCCATCGCCATCTACATCGCTTCGGATCAGATGGAGCAATCACTGATATTACGTTGATCGTACCCTTGTCAAACAACGAGAAAGCTTCCTTGAATTCTGTGGCGGGTAAATGAGCGCTGGGACCATCGACGACGACATCAGCCAGATTTTCTCACCAGATATCTGTTCTAGAAAACCGTACAAGAGCAACAAAGCATATCAGCACCAATAACGTCTTTGGACTCCCACAAAGAAAGTATTCACACCTTCAGACTGTGGGGTGGTCCGTTACCGAATCGATATTAATCAGTACCCATCGGAAGCCCACACGTGACAACGCAACTCACCAATTGATCCGCCATATTCTAGAAAGTCGCGATAGAAAACTTTGTTGGGTAATTTTTTGAATGCAGCGATTTGACAAAGAGGATGATGGGGGTTGACGATTGTTGAGCAGAGCCAAGCACGGCCCTTGACCAAGATCATGTCTTGCATCGGCAATCACCAGTGCCTAATCAGGCTAACTATCCCCAGAGCCCTTTGAAACTGACCACGGTACCAAAACATCAAACGAAAAGGGAACCGTGAGGCATGCACGGCCTGCATAAGAGGCAAGTTTTGTGGTCAACAGTCATGCAGATATGTACTAGGGGTCGGGAACTGCTTCCCAGTGATTTGCGGAGCTTCGTTTACCTACAGTACTGTGCTTCTCATCCTCGCTTGATTGCATAAAGTTTAATCCTAATTATGAATGATGTGTAGAAACGTGATTGAAAATAAGTAGTGATATTAGTCCCAGTCATCGTCATCGTCCTCTTCATCACTATCACCAAGCCTCTTGTTCCTTTCTAGTAAAGCAGCAGCTAACGCGGCAGTCAAATTTCCGCCTGTGCCGCCACTGCCAGATTCCTCAGCAGGTGCAGGGGGAGGAGAGGGCGTTGACTGAGGACCACCCGTCTTCCGTAAGTTTGACACACTCTGTCCTCGAATGGATGCAAGTAGGTCTGCGCGACCAGGCTGTGGGGAAGCGGGTAATGCCAGCGTGCCTCCTTCTCCATTTGAGAGAGGTGGTGGTGGTGGTGGCGGCGGCGGCGGTGCCGCTCCTGCAGGCGGAGGAGGGGGCGGAGGAGGGGGTGGGGGAGCATTCGCGGATGAAGGTGGCGGAGGGGGCGGGGGCGGTGGTGGTGGTGGTGGTGGTGGTGGAGGAGGAGGAGGAGTCATATGAGGAGTCTCCTCATATGAAGGTGGAGGGGGTGGCGAATCATTGACTGGTGGTCGTGCAGGAGGAGTACTAACTGGTGGTCGCGCAGGAGGAGTATTAACTGATGGTCGTGCAGGAGGAGCACCAACTGGTGGTCGTGCAGGAGGCGGAGGTGGGAGAGCAGTACTCGCAGGACGAACTGGCGGTGGGGGCGGTCCTGAAGATCTTACTGATTGTGGTGCGGGTACAGGAGGGGCCCGTTGTGGTGGCAGTGATGGTGGAGCCAAGGTAGGTCGCGCAGCAGGGGGTACAGGTGGTGCGGCGGAGACTGGACGTAATGGAGGTGGGGGAGCATGATGAGCAGGTGCAGAACCGCCATTGACTGATGATGCAACACTATCCTGCTGTGTGTGTCCCCTATTTCTAGGCGCAGGTAAGGGCGGTGGTGGCTTCTTCTTGATAGCCGGTTGAGGTGTATTTTGTGCATCACGGAGAAAGTCTTTTATGAAATCCATATCCTTGCTGATGACCTCACGACTAACTCCTGAACCCTCCAAATCATGTAGAAGTGCGATCCATGATGGGTCAATGTTACTGGAGTTATAACCCTTGTCCGGATCAAAGCCCATGTGTGCAACATGCACGAAGGAACCAGCGGTTGGCCCTGAAATCATAGACTTATCTATTCTACCACCCTTGGAAGACTTCTTCTTCTCAGAGGAAGAAGATTTAACTGAAGTAGAGGTCAAAGGTGGCCGACCAGAACTTATAAAACACCTTACCTTTATCTGCTTTACGGCTGGTTACTTTCTTGTAAAAGGTTTTTGCATCTTTCTCATCAGCAAAGACAAAGCCAATCATGCATCTCTCGAGTAAAAGTGAGTAATTTCCTTTGAATTGCAAATGCACACTCACATCGCCCGGGAATGAATGAAAGAACGGCCTGTCCTGGTAATACTCGAACGCTTCATATAGTTCATGTTCCCATATGACACCTCTCGTCCCCGTCAAATCAACCAGTTTCAACATGAAGGTGTCCTTGGAGTTATCTCGCACGAAAACGAGTGCGCCTTGCAGGCCACCATACGACCACTTGTTTGGCTGCGGATGTGCGAAGTAGATACGAGCAGCAGTAGCGGTGAGTATCTTTTGCGTGGAATTGTCTAAAGTAGATTTTACTTTAGACTTTTCGTCTGCTGAGAGTGCTGATTGAGAGGGCATCTCAAGCAGGGAGGATTTGACTTAGAGACCTGATAGTCACAATACAAACTGTGTTTGGTGCAACGTGGGAATCTATTTAGCGAAGCGCTCACTGACTCGGAGGCTGCGGCAGGCTGTACGCAAGACACAGCTGCTTTGTATTTATACTGCACTCAACCACTCGCCGTCTCGTGGTCAACCTGGTGGCCAGACATTATCCTTGTTCGATCAATTATTTCCTTCACACATGAATTTTCACGAATCGAGAGTCTGGACTTGCTGTTCAAAACTTCAAACTAGCAGCGACGGGCAGTGGCGGCCGTGTGCACGACCACATTCATTCGTTTGTTTAGGGAAGACTAATCCGTGTCAGTGTGTGCTACTGCGCTAATATAGCTGTATGCGAACGTCCCAGTATCTTGACGCGTGCAGGCCTCATTGTGGCTGCCGAGTGTCAGACCCTTCAGACCTTGGGCTTAGGCTAACTGGCGAGTCCTTTTTCTGACATGATCGCTCGGCATTCGTCAATGAGGTTTGTCAATATACGGCGAACATTTAAAGAGTGCGGTGAAACATACCGTTTGTAAGAACAGGAATTTGCATGCCCAGTAGATTTGTCCGTGCACACGGTTTAACCCTTTTTCACAGGTTCAAGTCCCCTAGCTGACTTCGTCGTTGATGGGAAACCCTTGTCCGAAAAACGGGAGATAAGTTTCCCAGTCTATAAATTGACACCTCGCCCAAGAGATTCTAGCATTCCATCAATGAGACTATCAACGGGCATCACACTCAATGGAAGCAATCAGCAGATCTGGAAATTGGATGGTCCATCAATTTGCTTTGCGACGTTCTTTGCGACTTCTTCGATATCAAACATATCCTGGTTGCCATCAAACCCTGATATCTTTGTATCTTCTATCAAATGGTGTGTTCGTGTTGTATTTCCGACTAATGGAATATGTTGAAGCGTCTGACGCTGTGGTTATATGTATACCTGAAGTTAGACTGCATATTTTGCTCTGAAGAGGTCGATGACACTGTTGATTATTAAACTTGCATTATAGGCCAGTCTGGAATAATCAGATTGGAAAAATCACCCGCATGCAGTACGCGGATTGCGCACGGAGGATGGTTGAATTGTATGCTATTGCATTTATAGGGTGAAACATACGAGTCATTTGATCTTGAGCGCTTTGGTCCTTGGGTGTGTATCTCCTCAACTTCGGTTTCATCCGGATAGCGTCGAATTACCAACTAATACCACAACATGCACTTAGCTTCATGGTCACGGCGCACATGCCATAGGTCTCTCATTCATATTAAACTTTTCATGTTGCATGAAATTTGCGTTCTTTCTAGGAAGCATTCCACAACAGTACTGACTGTGGTCTTGGGACCCCAGGGGTTATGTAGAACTATGCCAATGATGCAAGTAAAATTCTATAAACTGGTCTGTTATCTCGTGCTGGTGTCTGGGCTATAAACCCTGAGGCCTGTCAATGGGACCTGGTCCGCCGATCTGGAAAATCATATTCGTCCAGTGTCCACTCGTTCAAAAAAATTCATAACCTCAGACCCTTGATGGAAGGAAGATGGGCGATTGAGGAACATTCCGGTGCCACTGAATGGAACTTTGCAGCTCGTCGCCGGCATTCGGAGGGACCTTGAGCACCATAATCACACAAGATGGTTATGTGCTTGAGCTGGTTCATCATTGTAAACGCTCAGTGGTTCACACTCAGATTATTCACACTGGTTCTGGTACACAGAAGGTGAGTGGTCGTTATCTGGGGTTCTGGACGGAAAGACCTCATGGCTTCAGGGGGCTTTTGTGTCCGTTCAGATTCTGTAAAGTTGTCTGGAATCACCGACGCAAATATGATAGCACCGTCACGTCTTTCACCGGCGCGTCAATGCGAGCGGCAACGATGACCCAGACAACCCGCTAGTGCGTCCAAGCCTGTCATGGTGTTTCGCCATATTCTTGGCATTCCCTTCATCATAGAACCTTGGTGTTAGTGCGATGATTAATCACTGATTCGGGACAAGGCACTACATGTGCGCCATATGGGTCCTGAGTAAATCCTAGGGCAGATATGGATATGATGATCGTGCAGGGTTTTTTCTGGCCCACTGATACACAGCTTTTTTATAGCATTTGAAGCGAGGCCCTGGTCATCCTAACTCAGTGAAGGGGATACTGAATTAGCATAACATTCTTGAAAAAAAACAATATCTAATTACACTGCGCCTCGGAAACGTATCACATCTCCATCGTCTAAAAAAACTCATCAAACTACGCTGCAAGAATCTACCGCAAAAGGCTGCCATTGAAACCTTGCTAAAAATGACGGTGTCGATGCACAATCAGCCATAATCGAATGAACTAATTTGGTGCCCGCAAGCTGATCGCATGCAGTATTTTCTGCAGATCTACTGCGCACATTACGACCCACCACTGTTCGCATGTAAAGTTCAGATACAGCTTTGAGAAGGTTGTGAATGGTGTAAGCTAGATATTGAGGAAAACATTTTGATAAGTCAAAGTTGAAATGGAAACAGTATGTCATTGACGCGAAGCGTGGGAATCTATACTGGTACCGTACAACTTGGGATGCGAACATACCTACCGTAATATGCAACTATTTGCCTAGGGAAGACTAATTGTTGGCTAGCCTGGCCTGGTCGCTGGTCATCATTCTTCTATGATCAACTGCTTGCTCCATTCATGGAACTCAACCTAACCTAGAGTCCAGGACCCTCTTTGGACCAAAATGCACACTAGCAGGCTGATTCGGAATGTTAAAAGTGGTGGACGTGCCGCATGATCATCACGCCGCTGCACTCAGATGTGGCATAACCTGTGTATGTAATTTTCCAGTACCTTTTTTTTTAATCCAATTTTTGTCTTTTCCAGAGTGCTACTCTATAGTCTAAGGGCCCCCAGTGCCCTAAGCGCATCTCTGGATTCGCGAATACCCTGGTGTGGGACGTACCCCACCAGTCTGCCGCTCCCGCCGGCCGTTTTAGACGCGCAATCCGTGAAGATGGAGATGGAGAGATGACTTATTGTGTATCGTACGATTCGAGCGTTGTGTATGGTATGTACTAAGCGGGGGGTGCTACATCAGTCTGGCGGTTTCCGAGGCAATGGTACTTCAACGAATGTCTGGCATAGTCGTCCTGTTGCATTAATGAAGCGGGTGAGGTGGGGGGTTGCGTGTGGGTTCGATAAGAGGTAAGGTGGGGATGAGGCTTTATGTCCTAGTGCTTCTGTCAACTTGTGTCTTTCTCGACGGTATCGTTGGTAGTCAAGTAGGAAGTGAGGCCTTGGGGGTCCGTCTCATTCCCGGGCAATGTGCGCAAAACGGAGAGGGTTCTTTGCCTATGCGCTGGAGATGGGGGCGTGCCCTGTGCGAAGTGCCAGGCTCTGACTTTGGACTGTCAGACCGTTCAGCTCTTCACTAGTAGGCCAAGGATGACTCATGGTTCATTTATGTAAGCTGGTGAGTTTTTTTTATCTGGCATGATTGTTCCGAGTCGGCCCCTACCAAAGTTGTCATACTGCACGTCGACCTACGACGTGGACTTGTCAATATCCGGCCCAAAAATGCACAGCCAAATCGAATCGCATAAGTGCACTAGTAAAGCCGCAAGCGTTCGTAAGCGTCCGTAAAGTGCGTAAGTTTGGCCGCTTAACGCTCATTTCAGTGATTTTGCACACCTGAAGGCTGAAGCACATCAAGCCTTCTGCAAGAACAGAAGTTCAAGGTTAATAGATTCGCCTTGCACTATTCCTTTTTGTTCTTCACAGTTTTTAATCTCTAGGTCGATTTCGTTCCCGATCACAGACTCGTCCGAAGGTTGGGAGACGAGTGTCATTCTAATACACCGTTCCGGTGACACACCCTCGCTGGCTCCCGAATCTAACCCGATATTTGGCCTATTGTTGAGTGGAGCTTTGTGGCGTCAATTGGGCTGTTCTAGCTTTGCAGAGGCTAGTGTCGTCAGTGGACATCTGTCATAGCCAGATCTCGCCTTTGCAGATTTTGAACCGATTACTGGACAATGTCGTCTCAAGCCTTACGTTAGTGCCTCTTTCAATCTACTTGCTGGTACACCATTGTGAATACCCTAAGCGTTTTTCGCTAGACTGACAGCCCTTTTATAAAGGAAGAGCGGGAGGTTTCCGAGTCAGTTATTTATAAATTGCTTGTATAAACTATTTCCGTTCATCTGACCGCTTGGAGGTTTACAGGGATTTCACAGGATGACCGACGTCATGAACTCCTCGATTCAATTTCGCATTTATAGATTACATGATTCCCTCCTCCTCGGAGTACTACAGCCCATCAGCATATCCAGAATTGACTTAGTACCGTGCTGAACCATGAATTCTGGAATGTTCCCATTGCTAAATTAGACACTTCGCCCATGCACAACCCACCCACTATTTGGGTCATTGCTGGTCATGAGCTCGATATGAAACCGTACGAGTTTACAGCATCCCAGCCCCTGATGAGACACCCTGGGATACGTTTCTCCGCGGAAGTTTGCAGCTGGGATCCTGAATTCATATCTGACCCTGCATAATCAGATAATATGATCATCACCAACTGGTATGTATTTGGCCACCTTCGGCTGCTTCGAACGTGATCGCGATCAGGTATAGCATTCTCTGAGCGAGGATGATATTGGACATGTTGCGATGGCGGGTATGGAATTCAAAGGCGCGTATCAATCAATATACATGAGGACAAGATGTGATAGCGGGACAATAGAATTGGTTAATCCTCCCTTGCAGTATATCACCCCTCTATCAACTTGTTAGGCGGACATGATTACGGCCATGGAAGACAAGAATTTGAGAAGGTCTGTTAAAGTCATTGCCATCCGGTCTTGGCGGCGCATATAATACAAGTCAGGTGGTCTGGTCGTCAAAATCGTTCTCAAAATGTTGTATAATGAAGGGCGTCGTGGGACCTCGCGTGTGAATCGTTTTCATAGCCTGTTGGTGTTCTTGCGCTCAGACAGAATGGATCGTGCAGCAGTAAGACAGGCGGCGCCTCCCAGCACGACGACCTTAAAATGGACAATGGAATTTCAGCGGCTTGGCCAAGGAAATCCGGTAATGGAAGCTTACAGAAGCAAAGACAAGTGGTCTATACCAGATGTAAGAGCCGTTGACTTGCACCAGTGCACCAGCGATGGGATTACCTGTGAGGAGTGCGAAGGAAATGACAAAGGAAGTTATGCCTATGCGAGTGCTATATATACATCGTCAATCCGTCAGGGATAAGGTCTCATAGAGGAGACACTAATACTTGCCCAATTTCATTAAGGTCTCTCGAAAACGATGCAGCAGCGGGAGTGGTGAGGGATATGACTGTGAAAGCAAAGTCAATTGACTTCCAAGAAAACAGTAATGAACATGACGCACAACCACCAGAGAAGAACCCATACAAGATACTAAAGGCAATGGTACCCCCAAGGTCCGTGGCTGCAAAAATGAGAAACAGTAGCCCTCCGGACATGACAGTGCATGGGATCATCACTGTATACCATCGGTTGTGAGTTCATTGTCGTGTGTCGCCGATAGATGATTATACATACCGTTAAATGGCCCAATGACGTCACCCAAAAAGTTCGGGATTGTCCTTCCGAATAATGAAGCAGCGTTCATAATGGGAATCTAAACATTGCTTGGTAGTCTATTCTGTCTCATTGCTTGACACCTTACCGCATAAAAACCGATGTTCTTCGAAAGCCCGTGTTTCTCTGAAAAGACTTCTAGGTAGAAGACTATGATGATGCAGTGAGCCACGCAGTAAAAAACACTCCCTATAACATACATGGAACAAACAGGCCCCAGAATGTCAAGGTGGCACTAATTGAAGATGTCAGCTCCTAGCCTGATAGAGTTTCGAGAATACAGACCCAATGACACACAGCCAGAATCCTAGGTCGGACAGAATTGCTTTGACATCAACTGGTTTCGCATCCGGACGCTCCCTCCGACTGGGTAAACGAGTTTTCATGATCAAATTTGCGGTTCCAAGAAGTCCTAGATCGATGAAACCAGCTGCTCTATGGTGACCAGTTAACGTTGATTTCATAGACATGGTGCGTTGCACACCTCACTCCCCATCCAAACCCAGCACTACCATTGAACAAATTAGTAAGCATAATGGAGTAGATGACGGCACCGAGCGACGAGCCTGGAAAGAGGTCAGTGCAATGCAAGTGAAATAAGTTGAAGACTTGCCAGCCAAGACTACGCCCATTGCAGCAGCACGTCGCCGCCGGAAGTAATGAGATGTGACAGATATTGCGGGGAGGAAAAGAAGACCCATTCCAATGCCCATTCCAACACCTTGTGCCAAGAATATTTGATAGTATTGATGTGGTTTGGCAAGTGACAACATGAATATCCTGAATTTTGGTCGATACGGACGTCTTGAGGATGGTGAATCAGAACTTACGAGAACAGGTAAATGAGCGACCCCGCTCCTATGCAGTGGTGGAAGTAGCTGCTCAGGCAGAATGCTTAGATATCAAATGAGAACGGGGAAACGGAGATTCCAACCCTTCATCGAACAGCTTTCCGGCGGGTAAACCTCCGAAAAATAGTAAGAAGGTCTGCAGAGAACCAATCCAACTGATATCACTCGCGGCGTATTGCGAAAGGTAGTGGGACTGAAGACGGACAGGCGTGTAAGTGGTGAAGTGCGTGTAGGCTGCGGGAAATTCTTACAGAGTAGTATGCCTGGTATACACCAAATGACTGCACGGCGCCGAAGGTGCAAAAAAGGATCATGGACCTGATTAAACACAGAAACCAGATGTGAGAAGATGGTCGGACAATGTCATATGGATTAAGCTTGGCACATACCCACCAAGAACCGTTAACCACGCTTGCAGGCCACCTTCGGGGAATGGAGGCGGTCCTGTAACTTGAGGGAGCTTTTCGACATGAGCAGCAAGTTGAGTGTCACCACCAGAATTGCAGGTCTTTGTGAGGGCGAGGTTGGACTTGCTATCGTCACGGGTCAAAGTCATTCTGCTGTGAGGAGCTGAAGTTATGATTGGTACTGGAGAAAGGGGATGAAAGAACTGTTATGGGTGGTCATGAGGAGTACTTTAGGACGTTGGTTCACATCGTAAGAGCTCTTCTGTTCTGGCATGGTTAACTTGACACGAGGTCAGATCTCATACAGATTTGTGAAGACGGAAATTCTTGAAATCTGGAGATTCAAGGCGACGGTCACGGTGCCCCAATATTATGTAATAATAGTTATCTTCCATATGGAGTTATGAGCGCTAAGATTTAGATCGAGAAAACTTATCTATAAATAATTATATCTTGAATTTCATCGAGCAAAGAACTTCCGGAGGCCGGACACTGCGCCATCTAATTCTTTTGAGCCCTCGTCACGCCGCATCTTGCAAATCCTGTTGTATGCGCCGGTAAAGCGTAAGTTTTAAATCAGATATTCCAGACAGCGCGAGAGTTCAGCTTACCCCAGACCATTTCACGGTGTGTGTGTGAAAATCAGCGCCAGCCGAAATAAACATAGACCCGATCTGTGACCGAAACGCATGAGCCTGTCAGTGCAGAGTTTGCTGGGAAGACGCCAAATAAGCGACCGACTATGCCAGGCTAGCTTGTTAAATACCGATTTCAGCTAGTACAAACCTGTGTTTTGAGCGAACACATTCGGGGCGGCACCAAGCGACAGTGTTGATTAGATAATACTTTCCAAACGGATATCGTCGCTGCGTGGACCATTTGGTGTCTAACCGCAAGCGTTGGTCGAATCAATGTCCCCAACAAATGGCTCAGATTCGCAAGCTGACTCAAACGTTCCAGTGATGTACTTTGTGTCGCCGAGTTCCTTCAGACACGCTGATTTTACTTACGCAAAGGTACCGGTGTTCCCAGGTTCCATTTCATTCTTGTGTGAGTACTCTCACTTCAACTTCATCCTCATCTTGTCCATTTTACTCTCCTCAATGTCCTCATAGCGGCTGACCCCGGTAGTATGTTCAAATATGCACTTGAAAGCTATAACGACTTATGCCATATATTTCCAAACTCACTATCGGTCAAATTGCTTCCTATCGGAAGAATCTGCACTCGTGGCCTAAATCCGTGTGTATCCTACGATGTTATCCTCTGATTCTCAATCCGGTAGTTCGGCTGTGATGATATTGATATCATTTGACACAATGATTTACTTTGGTCCACGTTTTCAAAGCCCAGAGGTGGTATTTCTAATTGGTTAGTACTCACCCGACTTGACCTGATGATATGATCGACAAACTCTATAAAAAGCCGGCAAGATAATCGGAATAAGACACTGTCCTCCCCGTCAGTCTCATCGAATATGGCAGATCATCTCCCTCATCATCCCCTCTTCACTACTCGGGTCGAGTTTCTTCCCACTGATGACCGTGTGTCCCTGTCGTACCAGCGCGCAAGACTTCTCATGCACACCTACAGTACGTTGACCTCTTGTTTCCTCAAACACATGACACAGATCCATGCCCCCCAAATTTAGATCTGTCGCCTTCTGATGTTCAAGTGTGTTCTCCAAAGTATTGGGCCATGATGACAGACCCTATCATGTCACTGGATACTGCCATGTTTACTATACTGGCCGCTCATGTTGGTCTTACCATCGGAACACTCTCCCGGCATCTTCACAAAAGACCAGACCTCCGCCCTCTGGTCAACCGTCTGTTGCGTTTCGACACCGTTGGTATCTATCTCCTCACAGAGAGGGGTCATGGTCTAGATGCATTCAACATCGAGACAACGGCTACGAAGACCCCTGAGGGCTTCATTATTAATACACCTCGTGAAGAGGCAAGCAAGTACGTACCTTTTCTCAAGGATGAGCGGCCTGTAATGAAACACATATAGATTCATGCCTGCTTCCTCCCCATCCTTCGGTATTTCCAAGGTCGCTTTGGTTATGGCCAGGCTTATAATCGATGGAGAAGACCGTGGGCCTCGGTTTTTCATTGTGCCCGTCTGCAACGAGCGTGAGATGTTCAAAGGTGTTGAGTCCATCAGACTTGGTGCTCGTCCCGGAACTTGCCCTCTCGATTTCTCTCTAACACGTTTCAATCACGTCCATGTCCCATTCAGTGCACTCGTGTCGTCAAACATCTATGACCATTCCCTGCCAGCCTCGCCTCTAGAGAAGTGGTGGGACGAGGTATGGCGCATACCCCTCGGAACTCTATCTGTCACGGCACCTTGGATATCTTCCATCAAGGCAGCTGCGTTCATTGCCGGTCGCTATTCTATGCATCGGTCCCTCGTGGGGAAAGGGGCTGACCCCATACCCATTATCACATTCAGGACTCAGCAATGGCCTATCGCTCACGCAACCGCTGTTGGCCTCGTTATGGACAATTGGTTTCCAATAGTGGCCAAGAGCAGCGCTGATAAATTTCCGGATCATCGTGTTAGACATGGCATCGCAGTCATCGTTAAAACCACTGTTTGTCGACACTTTCAGCGCTGCGTGCCCGAGGTTGCTGAAAGATGTGGTGCGCAAGGCACCTTCGAGCACAACTATCTGGCTCGTATTGAGGTTCGTGCACATCATGTCTAACGATACTCAATTGACATATTGTATTCATTCAGAATGACGGGAAAGGTGTGATCATCGCTGAGGGCGATGTTCTCACTTTATGCATACGCCTATTTTCCGAGCTCCTCCTCCAGCGGTACAACATACCCCTCCCAGATCCAAGCGAGTCGCTTCTTGCTCGGCACGCAGCTTCTCTATTGGAAGAGAATATCAGCCTTCTTAACAGCTTGAGCGGGGGACATCGTAGCGAGTCATTTAACTCTCTCGTTCTCCCTCAGGCGGAACTTGCAGTTGAAGCCATGGGTCACGCGCTTGCTTATTCCGCCGGTTTGAAATCTGGTCTTCCTAAGCCAATTCTTGATGTGTATGAATGTGCCGTCATCCGCCGCGATCCAGCATGGTATTCGGAGAATGCTGGCTTAACCCGAATTCTACAACGCATTCGTGAAGATGCAGCTATTACAGCAACCCTTCCCCATCTCGATACTTACCTCAACAATTTGGCCATTGAGGAGTATGTTTCTGCGCCTATCGTGTCTGATGAGGCGTGGAAGGAGTACCACAACGCTATGCCTGTTTTCACTGGTCACGCTATTCCCATTTATGATCAGGTACAGGCCATGTTATAGGCTCTACTAGTATCGTGAGTGTTAATCATCGTTGCTCTAAACTCCGCAGTTTATATTGTTTCCTTCTCTCGCAGTCGAGATCGTTCTTTTCCTGATGAGTTCTTAGAGAACACTCGAGGCTTCTGGAAGTTGCCCGTACGTTATTTTTGCAATTCCCAGAGATTCATCTCAGCGCGCACTCCCTCGGATATCGGTGATGGCTATATGTCCATAGTGTGATATCAAGTATCTAGTGGCGAGAATTTTATTTATCTTCTGTATGTTCGTTGTAATTGATGTACCACGAGCCTCTGCGGACCGTATGTACTTAATGACTTGACGTGTTCTCTTTGCTCTGTATTTCTTTCATCTATCCAATTGGCAATTGAAATTTTCTTCCGAGAAAAAGGCTATCTTCTAATGAATATGTAAGCCAAACTCCAGACGGACACCCTGCATCGCACATTCATTCCGCCAAACTCCACGTAGATAAGGTGCATTGCGTGAGCCCCGCGCGGATCATCATATTTCGCCGCAAAGGTCTTAGTGGAGCACCGGAGGTTCCCTCTGAAACGCAAGTCGAAGACCACATCAGGTACTACCTTTACGGTCAGAAGATCCAATAAGCACGAGTGAATTAGTCAAACGTATATTCTCAAAAGAACCCCAAGGGAATGCACACATGCTATCTATTAAAGATCTGGCCCAGTTCTGTTCCAAAGATGATGTTCACAAGGTTATGCTGTCACGTACGCATGTAATGTACCCCATACGTAATCTTTTTGTGGCACACTCAGATTACCGTCGCACACATGACCGCCGGGTATGACTGCATTGTGTGTGATAAGGTTGTGTTATATCGTATACACCCAAAAATTTGTGTGCACGTGCCTGGCCAGACTAGAAATTCTATTCCGTCTTGGGCGTAATTGAGCTGAGTTAATTTTGAGATGGTTTTGGCTCAACTCTATTGCCCAGTGTGTTGCGGCCTGATGATAGAGCTGATAGCTCGTACACGCCCTCGGCTATGTTCTTGACTTCTGTTTTTCTATTGTACGAAAAAAATCGAAGATGAAGGTGTTAGAAGAACAAAACTAAATTGCGTCGAATTACTTGAAGTATGGGCAACTTTTGAGGTTCGATCGTCCTGCTCGGGTCCGGTGGTCGACGATGGTTGAAAGAGACCCAGGCTGACGGGCGCGACGAGGTCGGATATAGTGGCATGTAGTCTTTCATTAATTAGATTACATGCGGTCTAACGAGTCCGGGGACATCGAAAGCGGAATGATTGTGAAGGCTGTCTATATCGACCGAGTGAACCATATCGAATCGTTGTCAAACAGATCCCGTGTGTATACTTTGATTGGAGATCAGCTACGAGTTACGGCGCAAGATGCAATTACTTTTCAGCCAACTCAGGCGTAATACAAAACTGTTATAGCTGAGAGTCTCGACGTCATGTGAAGAACAAAAAAATACCTGATGTAACACAAATGCTACAGCTGCAAACACAATCAAGAAGCGTGCTTGCTTTCGTGTAATGTTTCAAAGAACTGCCTGACGTCAGCTTCGCCAACTATTCTGCCTTCCTGAGCAAACGGCCGGAGATATGCGAGTAAGTCATCTCTGTGAATATGCGCAATGAAAGATTCGTCAGACATCTAATGAAAATACTAACCGCATATCATTGAAAGCTCGGATTCCATCAATCGCCCTATCACGAGGAAGACGTTCCAATGCGCGCATACCGAGTTCCTCCAAAGAAAGAGCTAAGCATCAAATACTGGTGTCAGTATGCAACTGCTTCAGATAAGAACAAGGTATGCACCAGAATCAGGATCTTCTGGAGGCTCGTATGTTTCTTCTTCCTCAAGGAGATATGGATGATCGCTGAGAGATGAAAAACACTAGAATTCGCCGATGAACGGAAACGTAAGAAAACGTGTGTATGAGAAGCTCACACGACTGCAACGACACCACCGTTCACGCCAACCTTCTGTCAAGAAAACGTCACCCTCGGTCAGGGATACGTTTGTATCCGATGTTTGTTGTGAACCCTGAAATAAGGCTTGTGCAATCGGATTTGGTGTTGGAGCAAGACAAGGCGAGGATGGCTCTGGTGAAATGTGTTGTCTTTTCCGTTCTGGTTCCTCTGATTGAGAGGAATGCGACCGGTTTCGTTTTTGCCCAGGGGCTGCCGAAGAATCATCAATATCCAGTAGATCATCCTCCGCGCTTGTCGGCGCATCCGCGCATAAAGTGTTGCCGCCAAGTTTCCTCCATGGGCTATCTTCTGTGTCACGAACCACCATTATGGTACCTTGTGTGCCAGCATATCGGCGAAGGGTGTCGATCGACCGAACGCACGAGGAGCAGACGAATGCGTCGTAGTCCTCAGCAGATATGAGCGGCGGAGGCAGCCCTGAAGAGGAGGCTTCAGACTGGTTGTCTTCGGTATCATTACCGTGATTTGGGACTTCGTTTTCACGGACGGGAGATGATTCCCGCGAGGATGGTCGCGTCCGCAGATGTAGACACGACTCGTGGAACCAGTCCTTTGGAGATGGGGTATATCAATGACAACTGACGGGGCTTCGATTCACGCGCACGCACCTCGCATGTGAGACACTGGATCATCGTTTCCCTCTCGCATTTTGGATCGTATGGTCGGCCACATCGACAAAAAATGCTCCTAAAATTCTGGCCATATGAATTTTCCTTGTTTTCCTCCTCTAGACTACGATGCAAAGTACACCCGTGTGGGATAGCAGTTGTTGGGCAATCACATCGGAAATTGCGCTTGGGGAATAATTCTATTTGCTCGTGATCCGTGTGGCACGCGATGGAGCACGAAGAACACAAGCCACGGGGCAACTCACAAGTAAGGCAAATGTAAACAGCTTGCCTGATTGGACCCAGGGAGTATGTGCAACGAGAGAATTCGTGGGGAAGAGTCAAAGCTGCTTCTCGAATAAGTTCATCCTGAGAGGCAACAAATTCCGTCAGAGAACCCAAAGAAGTCATTTTCAGAGTTCGTGTTCATAAAGTGGGTTGGTATGGCACTTGTAGCACCTGGTAGGTACTATGTACTTACCCAGGCAGGAGATGGTCGCAGAACTCGCCGCAGAGTCTTGAGACGAGAACGTCTTTGCAATGCAAACAAACTTGTCACGTGTCAGAGCGCGCAGAAATTATAAGTATAAACAAATGAAATGAAATTCATTCGAATAGCGCAAACTTTGAGCCCATCTATGACATTATGGTGATCAGTCCGAAGCGACTACTTCAATTTTTATGTAGTACAATAAGCTAACAGGGTGTACAAGTAGATATTTGCTGTGTCTACGCTGGCATGGACCTGCAGTGCTAAGACAGATTCCTTTGTATGAACTTTAAAATCTGAAGAAAACAGTCAATGCCGAATCTGACCTTGCCTGCCTGCATGGACCTGGATTTTTCCGTTGCGTCGCAGTAATATTCCCATCAGAATAAGATATAGCTAGGCCCCATTCAAACACCACTAATATCGCATATGATGTTGTCTCGTATTCTGAGTAAGGTCTATCTGGACTAGTACTGTGCCACACTAATAATTTATGGATATTTATTATTGTCACTTGCTTGCAAGGTCATACTGTATGGTATGCGACGAAATCTGACGGACTATGTGCCAATAATAAACAATAATAAATATCAATAAATTATCAGAGCGGCTGGATCATAGGCTCAGTGCAGTTACTTGGAATACCAGACAACATCATATACGATGTTAGTGGTGTTTGAATGAGGTCTATCTTATTCTGACACGAATATCACTGCGACGCAACGAAAAAATCCGGGTCCACGCAGGCAAGCAAGGTCAGATTCGGCAACGCCGAACCCTAGTTTATTATTGGCACATAGTCCGTCATATTTCGTTGCATACCATATGACCTTGCTTTGCAAGCAAGGTGCAGATACCGCGCAGCAGTCGCAGCATTTTCCTAGTGCCCCGCTACACCTTATCGGATATCGATATAATTATGCAAGAGTACTTAATAGAATGCCTATCATCGAATGAGACTCAAACCATTCTCTTGGACTACACTTCCTTGACCAGATGGCTTCCCTCGACATCGACGAAGTTCGCGCTTGCTTCCCATCCCTGAAATCAGGGTACATCTATGCTGATAATGCTGGAGGATCGCAGACTGCTCAAGGAGTGATAGATCGGATCGTCGATTATTTGACCAACACCAACGTACAGTTGGGAGCTGACTATTTTGTCGGCATGCTGAGCAATCAGCGCGTGAATGAGGGCCCATTCACCGTTGCAGAGTTGTTCAATGCTGCTTCTATCGACGATGTCGGGTTCGGACCGAGTTCGACGATGATTTTGGAGAACATCGCCAGAGCCCTCGAAAATGATATCCAACCCGGAGATGAATTCATCATTACCTATGAACATGAAGGTTTCTGACATCATTTTCTTGTATTCCTTTGTAAAAAAACAACTCAACGCTGGTCTTAGCCAACAACGGACCTTGGAAGCGTCTGGCTGAGCGGCGCAATGCCGTGGTCAAATACTGGAAACCTATGCCAGTGTCTGCTGAAAACCCTTACTCAGTTGCATACAAGATCGAAGAACTATTGCCGCTGGTTTCTTCACGGACCAGGCTGGCCGCCATCACCGCATGTTCCAATATTTTGGGATCGTTGATTCCTGTGGAAGAAGCAGTCAAGGCACTTCGCCAGCGTGCAAAGGAACAGGGTGCAAGAAAGGTCGAAGTTTCTGTAGATTGTGTTTCATACGCACCACATAGAAAAATGGACGTACGACAGTGGGATATCGATTACTGCGTGTTTTCTTTGTACAAGGTTTTGATACTCGCGACTCCTTTCGATTTTGCATCTGACACTGTTTTGTAGGTGTACGGGGCTCACAATGCTGCTGCCTACGTGCGGTCAGCGGCCCTGCAGACATCTCTTACGTCCATCGCACATCATTTCCTCAAGGTGGACGACAAGCCATATAAGTTGCAACCCGGTGGTCCAGGTTACGAGCTGGTGTATGGTGCAACGGCAGTTGTGCCATATCTAAAGTCGTTGACTCCAGAAGATGATCTTGCAGCATCCTACAACGCGATCGCAAAGCACGAGCAAAACCTTCTAGCTCCTTTACTTGGCTTTTTGACGGACGCAAGACAATTTGACAGGGGTGTTCGGATTGTGGGAACGAGCGAGATCAATCTCTCGAGAGTTCCAACTGTCAGCTTTGTCGTCGTCGGACAGAACGCGATCAAGAGCAAGGATATCGTTGGAGCATTTGACAAAAAGGGAGAGGTAAGAGTCCGACCTTCAATGATCTTATTGTATTTGATTGTGCATGTTGCACAGATCGGAATTCGATACGGCCACTTTTACGCGTATTCTCTTATTGACAACCTACGCCCCAAACTGGATGTGAATGACGGGGTCGTCCGCATTTCACTTGTCCACTACAACACCGTCGAGGAGGTGGAGAAGATCGTGAACGTTTTGAGGGAAGTTTTGGGCTGAGAGATAATCTTGTAAATTGCGTGAACATGTAACTAGTAGTGGGGAACATTTTGGAGATGCATTTTTCTGATCTGGAGGTTGCTTACCTCAGCACGGAGGTTCATCCGCGGCGCGTGTTCGGAACTTTGATAGTCTTGTGATCATGCACATGATTCATTATCATTCGCCCGTTGCATGAAACACCTTGAGATCAAGCCTTCAAGCTTGCCGAATCTCGCTCCATTCACCGAAATCAATCATGGCTATCACCAAACCGTCCACTGGTCCTGACCCCATTCTGCTCACGCTCTTCGCAAATCGTTTTATGAGCGTCGCAGAGGCAATGGGCAGGTCTTTGCAGCAGACTTCGATCAGTACTAACATAAAGGAACGCTTGGACTTCTCCTGTGCGCTCTTCGCTCCTGACGGCGATCTGGTTGCAAATGCCCCCTTCATCCCGATTCACCTTGGGTCTATGAGCTTGTGAGTCTTTAAAGCAATTGCCGTGAGTGTCTTTGGAATGCGGCTTAATCTGATGTCAGTGCTGTGAAGTATCAAATGAAACTCTACGGAAAGGAGTTGAAAGATGGTGATGTGCTAATGACCAACTCTCCTCATGCTGGGGGATCGTACGTGCAGCTTTTCTTCACTGTTGCACATATTCACTAAGAGGCAGCCACCTGCCGGATATCACTATCATCACTCCGGTCTTTGACAAAGGGACTAACGAGATCATTTTCTTCACTGCCTCCCGAGGACACCATGCTGATATCGGCGGCATACTGCCTGGGTCTATGCCGCCTACGTCTGTGAATATATTCGAAGAGGGAGCGGAAATTGTGAGCCTGAAGATTGTAAAGGGCGGCATGTTTGACAAGAAGGGGTTGTACGAGTACATGGTTGAAAAACCAGCACAATATCCGGGGAGCTCAGGTTGCAGGAACATCAAGGACGTCGAGAGTGACCTCAAGGCGGTAGGTCGCTCAAAAGTGCTTCTTTCAGAATTCGTTGCTCACTCGTGCTTCGAAGCAAATTGCGGCCAACCACAAAGGAGTTCAGCTAATCACAGCGAGTCTGTCATATGAACCATTTACCTGGCCCATACACTGACTATCATGTTTGCAGTCGTCGATGACTACAGTCTAGAAACTGTTCAAGAATACATGTATCACATTAGGAAGAATGCCGAGAACTCTGTTCGAAGTCTGCTACGCGACGTCGTCAAACAGTCGGGAACTAATTTTCTCAGTGCTGTGGACTATCTGGATGATGGAACTCCAGTGAGTTCTGATCGCTGTTCATACAAATAATGGCGCTGAGGATCATGACATCGCTCAAAGATTCAGCTGAAGGTAGATATCAACGAGGAAGAAGGATCTGCTGTTCTAGATTTCGAGGGTACAGGGTGCGAAGTTAGGGGAAACCTGAATGCCCCGATTTCAGTGGTACACTCCGCCGTGATCTATTGCATGCGTGCAATGCTGAATGTCGACATACCGCTCAACGCTGGCTGTCTTGTCCCCATTGAGAGTACGTTCTTTGGTATGAAACGACCGTTGTACGATCGTATTGACATGAACTACTACAGTCAAGATTCCCCAAAGATGTCTTCTTTCCCCATCCAGGACCGCTGCTGTGTGTGGCGGAAATGTATTGACCTCGCAGCGCATTGTGGATGTGGTTCTCAAGGCTTTTCATGCGTGTGCTGCTAGTCAAGGGTGCACCAAGTTCGTTGTTCCTTTTCAAATACTGGTTTTATTCTGAATGTTTTACAGCAACTTGACATTTGGTACGGGCGGTAAAGATAAGAATGGCACAGCCATTGCTGGATGGGGTTATTATGAGGTCTGACGTTTCATCATAATTGGCATTGACATTGACGAGCGTTCTTCAGACCATCGCGGGTGGATCAGGAAGCGGCCCAGGATGGCATGGCACATCGGGTGTGCATACTCATATCACAAATACCCGCATTGGCGATGTCGAAATTCTTGAACGGCGCTATCCCATTCTTATGCACCGCTTCGGTCTTAGACCAGGCTCTGGAGGGAAAGGTAAATGGAATGGTGGCGATGGTGTGATACGAGAGTTCGAGGTTATGCAAGGGATGCAAGTGTCCATCCTAAGCGAAGTATATTATTTTGGCGTCTCCTTCCACCTGTGAAACTCACAAATGTGGCAGAGACGTACACGTGCACCATACGGCATGGCAGGTGGCGAGCCTGCCATGATGGGACGCAACACTTGGGTTAAGCAGCGCCGCGCGGAAGATGGTGATATACCCGACGAAACTTCTGAGGAAGATCTGAGACCACGGCATATAAACATAGGAGGGAAAGCGACGGTGTTCATGGGAAAAGGAGATCACCTATTGATTGAGACACCCGGTGGTGGAGGTTGGGGTAGGCCTGACGAAGGCCAGTTGGAGACTACCGACGAACACAAGCATCCCTGGGAAGCAAGAGGAAGTTTGGCAGAGAGAGCTGCTGCGCAAGCTGGGTTCTAGGGGCCATTTTGTGATAAGTCTCCAGTGTATGTTTTCTGTGTCTGGCTTGTAGGTAATGATTTGAAGGCGCAGCACCATTCTAGTGTATGTAGTCTGCAGTAGTGCATCAAGTTCGACTTTGATGGTAAAACGACCCAGCACCGTGAGCCTGCACCTTGACTGTTTCAGTGCCCTATCACCCTTCCGAAGTGCTTTCTTCCAAATGAACAGCAAGAAGGTACACCTACGACTTATGTGTGAATGCTAAGTAAGCAAATTCGTGACTTGCTCTGGGAGTAGGTAGGAACATATAGTAAGAACGCTTGCATTACTAATGTACATTTGCGCGTCGGTAATACTACTCGGCAGCCGCATTATAATTAACTTCAAGCAGTGCCTCGTCACAGGGTCTGTCCTAGCCAATCGAAGCCTAGGAAGATATTCCTAATCGTCTTACTACGTACCCTGGAGGGCACTCGAAGAGTTCACACGCTGGTACCCTCAACTCCATCATGGATGCTTCACAGATAAGACAGAAACTCGACCGCTTCCGGGTCCTTATTATCGGAAGAGCGAACGCAGGAAAAACCACCATCCTCAAGAGGCTTTGTAATACAAAGGAGAACCCAGAAATATACAACAGCGCCGGGGAAAAGGTGTGGTCCATGATACCAGCAGTACTACTGCGACGATCATAAATTGACTGATGGACATTGGTAATTAGATCGATCTCGCTGTGTTGATGGCATCTAGAGAGGTGGGGCATGTACTTTGTTGTTAGTAAATTCACTTGACCGAGTTTTCAGCGCGGAGAGCACGACATAGAGAATGAAATGGTGTTTCGAAGCAACCCAGGATTCGTCTTTCACGACTCCCGCGGGTTCGAGGCAGGAGGCCAGTCCGAATTTGATAAGATGAAGGCTTTCATCGCAAGTCGTTCTAAGAAGCCCAAGTTGAGCGATCGAATTCATATCATATGGTAATTGGTCGATTATTTTTTGGCGTGCGTCATCTCACATGTTTGGCATAGGTACTGCATTCCGATGGATGAGGACGGCAGGTCTTTCACAGACGCAGAAGTTAAGTTTTTCTCTCAGTGCGACACCAGAGACAGTAAGCCTTCGTATCTGCCTTTGTGTAACATTGACTCATTTCCGATGCTCAGTTGCAGTAATAGTATTGTTCACTAAATTCGATGCCCTCTACGACGATGAATTTGCAGAGCTGATAAATCAGGGAGTATCCAGAAGAGACGCTCAAGCGCTGGCTTCGCAGCATGCTAAAGAAGCCTTCGCCAATGGGCCACAAGTAAAGCTTTTGTACAACCGCAAAGGCAACCACTCTCCTCCAAGATGTCACATCTGCCTGCCTGGTAAGTCGGCTGATTCTCGAGTTGCTAGTAACCTATTTACTGTTTATCATTGCTCTCTGACATTTAGACATGGATAAGGACGATGCAGACTGCGGGCTACTTATCGAACGCACAGCTGAGACTCTGGATGATGATACACTCAAACAGATGTTTGTCTCGACCCAGCGGACCAGTTTGGAGTTCTGCATGAGATTTGCAGTCGAAATGTAAGTCCTCAAACCTCACTTATCTGTGGCGAGAAATAACTCACTGTGTATTGAGATCACTGGCACGGCATCTTGACTTCTTGAAGACAATCTCGTCGCGCATATCTGGGACATTCGACCGCAAGATTGTAAATGACTTGGGTTTATGGTTTCCACGTGCTTCAGTGAGAATGTAGGAATATTTACAAACTCTTCATTCATATTGGACGCTTACATGTAGGCAGTAATGATGTCTTATCATCTGTCAGCGTGCTGATCTAACCCACACCTAATCACTTGACAGGATGTGAGTGTGTCGATCCTCTGTCGAGCTCGAGCCTCGCTGACCGAACACGTCGCCGATCCCTTGACAGTTGGTGAGTGTGTCGATCCTCTGTCGAGCTCGAGCCTCGCTGACCGAACACGTCGCCGATCCCTTGACAGGATGTGAGTGTGTCGACCCTCTGTCGAGCTCGAGCCTCGCTGACCGAACACGTCGCCGATCCCTTGACAGTTGGTGAGTGTGTCGATCCTCTGTCGAGCTCGAGCCTCGCTGACCGAACACGTCGCCGATCCCTTGACAGTTGGTGAGTGTGTCGATCCTCTGTCGAGCTCGAGCCTCGCTGACCGAACACGTCGCCGATCCCTTGACAGGATGTGAGTGTGTCGACCCTCTGTCGAGCTCGAGCCTCGCTGACTGAACACGTCGCCGATCCCTTGACAGGATGTGAGTGTGTCGACCCTCTGTCGAGCTCGAGCCTCGCTGACCGAACACGTCGCCGATCCCTTGACAGTATGTGAGTGTGTCGATCCTCTGTCGAGCTCGAGCCTCGCTGACCGAACACGTCGCTGATCCCTTGACAGTATGTGAGTGTGTCGATCCTCTGTCGAGCTCGAGCCTCGCTGACCGAACACGTCGCCGATCCCTTGACAGTTTGTGAGTGTGTCGATCCTCTGTCGAGCTCGAGCCTCGCTGACCGAACACGTCGCCGATCCCTTGACAGTATGTGAGTGTGTCGATCCTCTGTCGAGCTCGAGCCTCGCTGACCGAACACGTCGCCGATCCCTTGACAGTATGTGAGTGTGTCGATCCTCTGTCGAGCTCGAGCCTCGCTGACCGAACACGTCGCCGATCCCTTGACAGTTGGTGAGTGTGTCGATCCTCTGTCGAGCTCGAGCCTCGCTGACCGAACACGTCGCCGATCCCTTGACAGTATGTGAGTGTGTCGACCCTCTGTCGAGCTCGAGCCTCGCTGACCGAACACGTCGCCGATCCCTTGACAGTATGGTGAGTGTGTCGATCCTCTGTCGAGATCGAGCCTCGCTGACCGAACACGTCGCCGATCCCTTGACAGTATGTGAGTGTGTCGACCCTCTGTCGAGCTCGAGCCTCGCTGACCGAACACGTCGCCGATCCCTTGACAGTATTGTGAGTGTGTCGATCCTCTGTCGAGCTCGAGCCTCGCTGACCGAACACGTCGCCGATCCCTTGACAGTTGGTGAGTGTGTCGATCCTCTGTCGAGCTCGAGCCTCGCTGACCGAACACGTCGCCGATCCCTTGACAGGTATGTGAGTGTGTCGATCCTCTGTCGAGCTCGAGCCTCGCTGACCGAACACGTCGCTGATCCCTTGACAGGGTGTGAGTGTGTCGATCCTCTGTCGAGCTCGAGCCTCGCTGACCGAACACGTCGCCGATCCCTTGACAGGGTGTGAGTGTGTCGATCCTCTGTCGAGCTCGAGCCTCGCTGACCGAACACGTCGCCGATCCCTTGACAGCGTGTGAGTGTGTCGATCCTCTGTCGAGCTCGAGCCTCGCTGACCGAACACGTCGCCGATCCCTTGACAGTATGTGAGTGTGTCGATCCTCTGTCGAGCTCGAGTACCGATGTGTTGATCATCACAGTATGCAAGTAGATTTACCCTTAACTATTTCTGTCTTTTAATCATAATTCATCAGTGTTACCGGCCCGAAGAAGATGAAATGTGGTCCACGTTGCGATCTTTGGCATGTCCCATTGCTCACATCTTGTCTACACAATTCTCATTTCAAATGTTTGCTAGTCCTCTGGGTCGTCAGCGTTAGAGCGCATTGTGCAGCTTGGTTCTGGTGAGATGTTACGCTAAATTGTAATGAATTTGCTGATTAATTGATCATAAGCTGCCGTTATCATCTTCGAAAACGCTTTTCATCTTTGGGACCAGCAACACTTTAGAATGGAGCAGGTGTCAGTTTACCCTGTTCGTGTTGCTCTCCAGCAGTACATGGCATCTCCCAATGCAGCGGCCGTCAGGGAAGCTCTGAGTTCTGCTGTTCACACATATGAAGCAGGCTTTTCTCGCTGGATACCAGGGTCGACCAAACACTCTCGGAAGAAGGAAGAGTTAATCCACACGATTGTTCAAGTGGTTTTCCAGCACCGCCTGCGTATGTGATATCTAGTGCAGTTGCCAGTCCCGCTGATATATTCGTATTCAGCACCACCTTCAGTCTAAGCAGGAGGACTATATCTGGAAGATGAGGTCCAGTGAATTGCGGTTTCTTGACCAGCTAATGGCATGTCCGTGGTGTCAAGGAGATGAAATTATGTGAAACGATATATGATAAAGCAATGAACTTTTTATGACATGGTATACATGCGAGTGATAGACGACATCCTACTTATTTCGTGCGATGTTGTAACTTTCCTTGAAGAAAAGAATCCATACAATTACTTTCGAATTGGCTCAGGGATCGACTGTAGCGTGGTGCGCACAACAATGCGATGGGGTGGGTTTCGTGTCGAACGTCCCTAGCAGAACGCTATGGCTACAGGGATCGACAGGAGCATTGCTATAAAATGTGTCACAAGTACGTTCTCAATGCAAAGTTGTACACTATCGGTAGTTTCTGGCCGACTCCGATAGTGACAACGTTAACAGAGTCAGCACACGAGTAGCGATCAAGAAGGTAGTACCATCGAGAATCAACGCCGGGCAGTTACAAAGGTCAGTCCAAATTTTCATAAACTTCAAACTGCAGAGAAGCCTCACTAGTAGGCGGGTAAGTCTGCCTTTCCAGTTGGTCTATCCGCCTATAACTGCTGAGCAAGACTTATCTGATATCTCCATCGCTGTCATCGAAGGATATGATCACTTTCAACAAAGTTAGGTCAGTAGTGTTGATTTGACTGAGTGGTGATCCGAGTCAGGGCGAGTGACGTTTGAGATCTGAGATCTCAACCCTAGGAAATTCTGCTGATGTAGTCCGTGACTGGGTCATTATTCCGAAGCTCAAAACCCTGCGCGACGGTATCACAATGCACGAAATACTACGTATTACGCTGCTAAAATTCACATGCATCCATTTTAAAAATTCTCAAGGCCTTGTATCTGGTCCATGCAACGATATTTCAATTTTTTTGCGATACAATAAACCAACGGGGTATAAAGAGACTTATCTACTGTGCCTACACTGGCATGGACCTGCAGCGCTAAGATAAATTCATTTATAAGAATCATGGTTTCCTATGAGGCCTGAAGAAAATGGTCAGTAAGCGCATCCAGAAGTGGGTGATGATTTTGACACGACCGCCATACCGAATGCTAACACACGAATAACGAATCAGTTGTTTTAAAATACGCATATAAGGATATGATGAAACAAGCGAAGGTATGTACATACCAATACCAACGACTGACCTATATTGCGACAGCGGAGAGAAAGGCAAATAGAGAGGAAGACGCGCACCATGACTTGATGCAGCATCGCATCCCAACAAGCTGGTAGTTTGACCAACTTTATCTCGCTGCAAGAATATTCAAAGAGGGTGGAGGGGTGTGCGAGAAGATGCAGGAAGGGACGGCAGATGTTTCAGAGGGCGAGGCAAGTCCGAAAAGGCTAAAAATTGTGAAAAGCGCCGAGACGAGCCTGGAGCAGAGAGAAGACATGGATCTGCAATAAAGCAGGAAGTCTGGAATTACTCACCAAAATTTTCGCTGAGCGGCTTCAGTACACTCTAGAATAACTTGGTGCAAGTTCAAATCTTCAGATGAAGATTGTCGTGACGCATCAGCAAAGTACTAGAAGGTGATGAAAATGTGTTAGAACACTTCAAAATAAATGTATTTACTAACTGAAAAATACCTGGCCATATGCATATCTATAAACCCACATAAGTCAGACTGAAGACATCAATTTTGAAGTCAGTCATGCGTGTGGCAGAATTGGCGGGCCGGCACGGACCGCTACGTAAGCTTTTCGAACTCCATCCAATGACTCTCACACATGTATAGTTCACCTACGGTACGCCAATCATCTTCAAACGTCGGACCGCCCAAATTTGTTCGAGTAAGATTGATGCTCATGTGTTCTCAAGCCCTCATGATCAGGTCGAACCCGCCACGCCTTCACATCGGGTATCGATATAATTATGCATGAATACATAACGGAACGCCTATCATCGAGCGATACTCACACCAATCACTCTCTGTTCTTTTGGACTACTGCTTCCTTGTCCAGATGGCTTTCCTCGACATCGACGAAGTTCGCGCTTGCTTCCCATCCCTCGAATCAGGGTACATCTACGCTGATAATGCTGGAGGATCGCAGACCGCTCAAGGAGTCATCGATCGGAATCGTACATTATCTCACCAACACCAACGTACAGTTGGGAGCTGACTATTTTGTCAGCGTGATGGGCACTCAGCGCGTGGATGAGGGCTCTTTCACCGTTGCAGAGTTGTTTAACGCTGCTTCCATCGACGAGGTCGGGTTCGGACCGAGTTCGACGATGATTTTGGAGAACATCGCTAGAGCCCTCGAAAATGATATCCAACCCGGAGATGAATTTATTATTACCTATGAGCATGAAGGTTTCTGACATTATCTTCTTGTATTCCCTTGTAAAAAACAACTCAACGCTCGTCTTAGCCAACAACGGACCTTGGACGCGTCTGGCTGATCGGCGCAACGCCGTGGTCAAATACTGGAAACCTACGCCTGTGTCTGCGGAAAACCCTTACTCAGTCGCATACAAGATCGAAGAACTGTTGCCGCTGGTTTCTTCACGGACCAGGCTGGCCGCCATCACCGCATGTTCCAATATTTTGGGATCGTTGATTCCTGTGGAAGAAGCAGTCAAGGCACTTCGCCAGCGTGCAAAGGAACAGGGTGCAAGAAAGGTCGAAGTGTCTGTTGATTGTGTTGCGTACGCACCACATAGAAAAATGGACGTACGACAGTGGGATATCGATTACTGCGTGTTTTCTTTGTACAAGGTTTGGATACTCGCGACTCCTTTCGATCTCGCGTCTGACACTGTTTTGTAGGTGTACGGGGCTCACAATGCTGCTTTCTATGTGCGTTCGGTGGCTCTGAAGACATCCCTCAAGTCCATCGCACATCATTTCCTGGAGGTGGACGACAAGCCATATAAGTTGCAACCCGATGGTCAAGGCTACGAGCTGGTGTATGGTGCAACGGCAGTCGTGCCATATCTTAAGTCGTTGACCCCAGAAGATGATCTTGCAGCGTCTTTCGACGCAATCGCAAACCACGAGCAAACCCTTCTAGCCCCTTTACTTGGCTTTTTGACGGACGCAAGACAATTTGACAGGGGTGTTCGGATTGTGGGGACAAGCGAGATCGATCTCTCAAGAGTCACCACTGTTAGCTTTGTCGTCGTCGGACAGAATGCGATCAAGAGCAAGGATATCGTTGGAGCATTTGACAAAAAGGGAGAGGTAAGTTCGATTTTCAATGATTTTATTATATTCGATCATACATGTTGCACAGATCGGAATTCGATACGGCAACTTTTACGCGTATTCTCTTGTTGACAATCTACGCCCCAAACTGGACGTGAATGACGGGGTCGTCCGCATCTCGCTTGTTCACTATAACACCGTCGAGGAGGTGGAGAAGATCGTAGATGTTTTGAGAGAAGTTTTGGCTTGAGCGATAGTGTAAAATTGTGTGGAAATTTATGTCACTATCCGGCTGGGAACATTCTGGAGATGCATTTTTCTGGCACGATGCATCGATGGTGTGCATATATCTTGAGGCCTTGAGGGTTGCCGCCGTGTACAATTCAGAGGTTGCTTTGTTGACAGGTTGTACCAGCATAATTTTAGCAGTGTGAGAGTGACACAACGGAGGCACAACTGGAGAAGGTATGGGGGACCTACCGGACGCGAATTGACAGAGGGCGTGTCAGAGTTTGTTGCGATCGATGGAGGAGCGGTTTCTATCAAAGTGAAGGGAATGTATCTTGCCTGTCCTGCTGTCGTGTTTCGCTGTGTGCACCGTCGAAGCTGAAGATGACTGATGTATTTTCAGGCCAAATAGATGTGCTATTGCAACCATGAACAATCGAGTAAAGAAACATAGCAAATAAAGTAAAGATTTACGAGCAGTTAAATCACACTCAAGACAAGACACCAGAAGCCCGATGAACTCTCAATGGAAGAGATCACGCCTGCAATGCGTATGCCCTAGGTGCTGACGAGTTCGTGAGGATAGGAACCAGACTAAGTTGCAGTTTGGTCGATCAGTCTTTAGCTGAGGTTGTTCAAGTTGTCGTGCTTGGGGAGGTGGGTCAGCCTTAAAATGATTCAACTAAGGTTCGAGTGTATGAAAAATCAATGACTCGAAGCGCAGTGGGAAACCGTGCCTTCAATCGCTGGAGAGAGTTGATTTTGGTGCGGTGAAGTGTATGCGATAAAATGCTGAGGGTAGGAGGTACACAAGACGAGCCAAAAGATGATCAGCCGAGATATTTGGACCGCAAAGCCTGCTTGTCATTGTGATATCTGACGATTCGTGTCCTCAAACCATTTGCTCAGGGATTGAAGAAGCCGAGGTCCGACTGTCAGCTGTCTTCGTGGCGTGTGAAGTAATTTAACCTTGTAGGTGTCGTTACGTACTCAGTTAAACATTGCATGATCCGCGGACGAGGACCTCCATGGCATGATGTTCGATCACTTCGGCCGCGCTAGCAGTTGAGTAGATCTTGGTAGAAATAATGATCATGGGTGAATGCAGATTGTGTTGTGGTTGCCATGATGGTACATACTAGTGAGAGAATCAAACGATATGACAAAACGCATATGCCAGGAAATTCCACTAATAGAGTTCAGCACGGAAGCATGCGTTGAAAAAGAATCATCAACGTTCCTGTTAGCGCCAGATGAGATTCATTCCAAGCAATTGAACATATTCAATTACATAATTGAATGCGAACCGAAGTGCCTTGTTTGTACGCTCTTAAAGTCCCGCCGATGGCAGCCCAAGAGCATACCAAGTTCTCTTCCCTTGTGTCCCACTCATGTGCTAGTTATGACCTTGGCACTTACGCGATCGGTCTTTCTCCGTCTTTCTGCTAGAGCGAGTAAGGCTTCTCCCGCAAGCACAAGATGTGTCAATGTCCATTCTTTCTTGCGACCAATTAAGACCCCTCCCAGTCGATTGTATAGTACTGCTACAGCTAGAACAATCAAGTCCTTTAGATCTGCAGTCGCAATCGCTGTAATAGCCGGCTGGTGCTTCGCTCTTCTTTGTCCTGGCACCCTCTCGAGATGCTGGCTCTCCAAAACCGACATCGGAAGCCGTCGTCAAGGTTGCTCCCACTGTTCTTCGTACTGGCTCTGAGCCGGTACGCAATTTGTACCAAGGCCCTTGAAGACTTGCAGGCCGAATTCCCAGAATGCTCTGTTGTATCTACAGACCCCAGTGAACTGTATGCATATGCACAGTCGGCGTACTCTCACTTTGTTGGTCAGTTTGCTCTTCAGTCTTCCTCGACCTCTAGACAATAAGATCTCATAGGATCACCCCACACCATTGTTGTACACGTTCGAAGCACCGAAGATGTTGTAAAGGTAGTAAAAATATCCAATAAGTATCTAGTTCCAATCGTACCATACTCAGGAGGGACTAGCTTGGAAGGGAACTTGTCTGCTGTACGGAAATACACTCCTAGTGTCATCGTAATTTTTTCTGACTAAACCGTGCTCCTACATTTTACAGCCATCCTCTGGATCAATCTGCGTAGATCTGTCTGGTCTCGACAAGATCATAGCGATTAATGGTGGGCGGTGATTCTACACGATTTTAAATCTCCGTCAACGCTAATGTAATGTTTGGTCTCAGAGTCGGATGCAGATGTGGTTTGCCAAGCTGGGGTCACTTGGAATCATCTGAATGAAACCCTGGCGGAAAAGGGTATGTCGCTGTGTAGCCGGTATTACAAGATTGATTGACATATTCTCAGGCATTCCGTTATTTTTTCCGGTATGTCCCAAGTAACATCAAATTATTTTTCCGCAGTCATAAGGACCTGCTAGCTTGATCCTGGTCGCGGTGCCACGATAGGCGGCATGATCTCGACCGGGTGCTCTGGAAGTAAGTCAGAACCTCGTGAAACCCGTGGAAATCTGACAAACTCGCTCAAGCCAATGCGGTCAGATATGGAACAGCAAAAGGCGAATGGATTCTTAATATCGTGAGTGAGCTTTTCAGCTACGCTAAGAGCATCATTTGGTTTACGAAAGAGGTTTGTAAGACGGTGGTACTTCCGTCGGGCGAAGTGATTAAGACGCGACAGCGCGCCCGCAAGTCATCAGCGGGTTTTGATGTCACCAAATTGTTCATAGGTGCAGAAGGCACCCTTGGAATTATCACAGAAGGTGAGCGGAGTGTGTCCGTGTGTATTTAGTCACACTTACTCATGCTCCTTGGTGGCATGTCCTTCTGTTACAGCTACATTGCGTCTAGCCCCCGTTCTGCCAAGCACTGTTGCGGTCGCGCAATTCTCTGATATTCGGAGTGCAACCAATGCAGTATGTGACATCTTGAACCATGGCGCAACACTGCGTAAGTCAGAAGCCCTTCAGAGGAGCTAAATGCTAAGTGTGGCGTGTCTATTCTCCACAGAATGTGTCGAGATCATCGATGAACTTACGATCAAGGCGCTAAACCAATTTGGGACGTCTGCGAGAAAGTGGCCAGAGAAAGTTACCCTTTACTTCAAGTTTCAAGGCTCGGACAATGTCATCCAGGAAACATCACGCTATGTGGAAGGCGTGATTGCGAAGCATGGTGCGACCGACTACCAACTTGCTTCAAACGAGCAGGAAAGCGAGGGTATTTGGCAGGACCGGAGAAACGCGCTTTTCGCGTGCCTTGCATGCCGTCCGGGATGTAAAGGATGGGTGACTGACGTATGGTTAGTGAGTGATGTCGTTCTTGGGATTGCTGATCCGCCGGCGCCCTGCGACATCACATTTGTTCACCCGTGTGTGGTTTACTGATTATATTTGTCTAGCGTCCCAGTGTCACGCTTACCCGATCTTATCTCTGCTGCCAAGAAAGACTTTGAAGAACTCGGTCTAGTTGCACCGATCGCTGGTCATGTTGGTGATGGTGCGTTCCTTGGCACAACTTGTGTACGTATTTACTCATGCTATGCCGCGAAGGTAACTTTCATGCCCTCGTTCTTTATGCGGACGACGCGGAACTTGCCCTTGTACGAGAAGCAGTTAGCAGGATCAATCGCAAGGCCATCGAACTCGAAGGAACATGTGAGTATTCTTTTTAGTCAGGTGTCAGTGTTCGTAATCTAATTGACGATTTAGGCACTGGGGAACACGGCGTTGGTACGGGTAAACGCAACTACCTCTTGACTGAACTTGGGGAAGGCACGGTAGCCCTCATGAGAACGATCAAACAGACGCTTGATCCCCATAATTTGTTCAATCCAGGAAAGGTAAGCGGTTTCTTGCGAACTAGATGTTTGATACGATTGTATCTTACAGCTGTACCCTGATATCTCGCCACCATCCGACACAAACGCGTTGACAGAAGGTCATATTACTTCGAATACGAAGCCTGCCAGCGGCCGATCTTGAGCCTCAGAGCCAGGTGCTCGTGGCTTTTTCACCTTTGAAGGTTGTACAGTGGGACGTCTCCTGACATACTGTTCTTCATGAAAGGACTACCGAGTGTTGGTTAATGAGCACTTTGCCATGGCCCCTATTTCAGATTTGCACTACAGGGGGCTGTTGTTCCCGCGGCCATCTTGAAGGATTTTCTTACTGTTGATGGGGCCCTGACAATCGTGCCAAAGATATATAGATATAAATGTAAAATATTTTGTAAATAAGTTCTGCCCATCATCTTCCAGTCGATCTGGTGATAGGATCGATAACCCCGATGTGTGAGCAGTGCCCTTAAGTTTGAGCATTATTATGTGATTTTAACGGGTATCCTGCGAGGCAGTGTCGATTGTCAACAAGTTTGATGTATGGCTCTGATATTTGGTTCGTGAGGCTCTTGAGTCGATCATGTTCATCTTTACATTCCGTCGTACAGTTGCAAATACAATCAATGGATCCCGTCCCGGGTAGTAGTTGCATCCCTGGCTAAACCCTTCATGCGGAACTCTGATGCTCACCGTACAAGGCCCACTCCGATGCACCTCTTGATCCGTTTGTCAGTATTCTCATTGGTTTGCGCCAGACTGACTCGGACATATAAGGCTGTGCTTGAGCCATACGCTTCATCTTACGTAAATCACTCGGTTCGGACTATAGTTGTGAAGAAGAAAACAAGCGCACGGTCAACTGTTACACCCGCATGACCCCCACTCCTCGGTATATATGGCTTCCCCACAGTCCAGACAGACCGAGGCGTTTTGAGAAGGAAGAAAATTCTGATATTCTGATAACCTACGAGCTGACTTCTAAATTCTGCGGGTCAAGTCACGGGTTGTTGGCTAGATCCACGCAGGCAACACAAATCACTTTCCCTGTATATATACGCACAGCGAGGAAACAAGAATCGATGTCATCGTGGGATGACCGGTTTGGAATAGACCGACCGACCTACGTGCGATGATGGAAAACTGATAACGAATGCACAGATTTATACCAGCAAAATCATGAATCCGGTGAATCTTCTTTTGTGGTGCACGTAGCGAATCATATATTAATGGGTCAGCTTCCCTTCTTCTGGTGAGACTATCTTTTTTTTTTACCTGCCGAGGACGACAAAGTCCACTTTCGCCCACCAAACTCGACTGGGTCACCGCGTGGCGAGGTCACCGCCTTCGACTTAAGGTTTCCTTCTATTGGGCTACATAACCGTTTGCTACCTTGGACTCGCCCCCAATACTCTTTTCATCGTTGCAGGACTCAAATTTCGTCATGCCCGGGGAATCGCAGAATATCCCCAGAAGGACTTCGCAGATGCTGCGTTTTATAGTCGTTGGAGGGAGCATCGCAGGCATCGCTTGCGCATATGCGCTACAAGAAGCGGGTCACCAAGTAATAGTTGTGGAACAAGGCGACGGAAGATGTAATGTATGTAATCTATTTCATCGAATCCTAGGCGATATGAACTTTTAGACGCCAATCTAGAGTCACGGTGGAATACGATGTCCACCAAACATGACGCGCCTGTTGAATCACTGGGGACTCGGACCCGCCATCGCCAGCATTTCCATAAAAGCCAACAGGTTCACTTTCAGGGATGGTAAATGATACGCAAGGAGACCTCCGTTATCCGTCGGTATTCATAAACGTTTCCTTGCAGGGAAATCTGGGGAAGAACTCGGCCCTCTCGTACTGCATGAGAAGCTTATGAAAGCGTTGGCGGCGGATTTTATATACATGCAGGTTCGCCGCGTTCTACGATATGCGACATTTCCGGATCTTTGATGAGTATGTAATTTCTGGTGATAGCATGGAGCGCTGCACGCGATGTTTGTCGAGTTCGCCAAGAGTGCCGGCGTTCAATTCCGATATAACACGGAAGTCGTCTCGGTCGATCCGTGGAAGGGCGTGGTGATCACGGGCAAGGGTGCTAAATTGTCTGCGGATGTCATTATTGGTGCGGATGGTTATAGGAGCGTCGTGCGTCCTGTGGTGGTCGGTCCTGAAGGAATGAAAGGCGTTTTGGATAAGCGCGTATCGGTGAAGTAAGCCCTGCTTTTACTGATCAAGATTTCTTACGGCTGACGCGGATCGTTAGTATCACCGTGCCCACAGACCTGATGCGGCAACACAAGGATCTTGTTCAATTAACGATCTCACCGGAGGTACGAATATGAATATAAATGATCGCATCTTTCCATGATATTAACGCCGAATTAGTGGTCACTATGGTTGGGTGATGATTGCGCGATGCATGGGCTACTCACTGTGCGTGCAGTAGTTACGAATGCTTGATAGAACACTGCCTAACTTTCCCAAAAGATCGATCCCGGGACATCCAAAAAAGAATATGCTGTAGTCATGCATGTTCCTACGGATGGCAAGCCAACACATCACTCATGGGCACGGTCACAACCTTTGGATGAAAAGTTTCTGAAGCTCGACCGCTTCGAACCTAGGTATGTGTGTGGTTCAATTCCCTCGACATTCCTGATGTTGGTGAACAGAATACAAAAGCTAGTAAGATTTGCGCAGACTATGACGCCAACTGGCCATACTATCTACGAACCCTTTGATAATTGGGTTCATGAGAGCGGAAGGGTAGTACTAGTTGGTGAGGCCGCCCACCCATTGATGGTATGTATGTTTTCTTCCAAATTATATACATCGTTTAATGATCGCTGGTTTGCGCAGCCCAACGGGTCACATAATGCTGCAATGTCGATAGAGGATGCCATGACATTATCGACGCTCTTTTCTCTCCCAGCAGCTAAATTGCATACGTCCGTTCTCCTTTCCGCTTACGAAGAGCTGCGGCAACCACGTTGCGCCGCAACGCAAGCTTCTGAACTACGGAAACGAGATTTCGTATGCCTGCCCCTGGGTCCTGAACAGCAAGCTCGCGATGACGGTTTACGAGATGCAAGAGCGCGTGCGTTGCTTGACTGGGACGATGCGGAAGAGGAGTTTTTGCGTGACACATGGGAGGAGTATATCGACTTCTTCGCTTTTGATGCTCGGGAGGCAGTGGAGGATTGGTGGACGAAATGGGGCCGGCTCTATCGCACGCGGATGCCAGAGTCTTGAATAGGGAACGCGGTGGGGAGGTTTGAGTCGCTACATCTGGAAGGGAACATTTTGCAGGAGGCGGTAGCAGGAGTGCTTTTACGGGAGGAGGAACGAAATAATGACACTTATACCTTGAACGCTATTTACCCACATGACGACTCAGTCCTTAGACACTAACCTCAAGTCTAAGGATAATTAATTTATATACTCGCTTTCATGTCGATACTATGCAATGCTATTGTTACACGAGATTTGGATGTAGTCTCTCTTGCCGCTACAATACTAAAACAGGCTACAACCTGTCGTGTGTTTACCGATGTCACCATTCGTTTGCGTGGACAGCGGGAGAACATGTACATGTACATATTGTAGCCTAATCCTATAGATAGGGTAGTATGTTGAATCCCGGTCTACGCGAAGGGACCATACTCACAACGATGGGCGACATATCGCCAAGACATAAGAAGCACATAAACCACATTGTGCCACAAGGGCGTTCGGAAAGTTGATGTTATGCTGAAGTCATATTTCATAGTTCCGATGTCCCCTCACCAGGAGCACGACGCGATACGGACCTGTGTGTCAGATGTCAAGCAAAGAACGTACACGCATCAGCGCTACTACAGGCCTGTGGATGCCAAATCTCAAGCCAAGAACATACCCGCTTTGGATCAGATCTGGGCCTGCGTTTTATCCATGGTCGCAATTGAATGTGAGATAGCATTATGGAATATTCGAACTAGCAAACCCACAAGAAGCTGCGGATGACGCTGTCACTGTCTGCACTACATATAGAATTCTATAGAGTTCAAACTTTGAAAGGTAGAGTCAAGCATCGGCTGAGCAGGTATCTCCGACTGAGAAGTATCGACCCGAGGCACGAAAAAGTGAAGCAATTGTGCGCTGACTTCTAGAAACCTTGGTCGCAAGGTGATATATAAGACTGTATCCGTATAACAAGTGCGAGCACTCTATAGTGGGTGCGAGGCATTTGAAGCGTTCAAATGCACCATTCTTTCCTCCTTCTCTCTTGCTTGCTCTGCGAGCTGTAGAAGAATGATGAGTATTGTGGGTCAGCGATAAGGAAATTACACGAACCAAGGCTTGCCATGAGTGGTCAGTCGGCCGCTGGAAGGGATCAGTATCTGCACCATGTAGAAACACGAAGCTGGGAACTCACACGCTGGAGGGCGGCCTGGCGCTGATTGTGCGTAAGGATGCCAGCGCCTATTAAGACGCCAATGGTCAAGCCCTGTGCCCACATACGCACTTGAACTATCTTTTGGGGTAGCGTCTGATGTCTGCATGTCTACATCAGAGACATGGAATGACCGTCGATGCAAGAAAAGCCACGAACCTATCCCTAGAGATAATGCCGCCAGCGACTGCCATTGATAGAGCCCAGCTTCCAAGAATGATGCTGTACTGGTGTCGGGTTGCCCAATCACCGATTTTTTCTTTAGTGGTCAAAGCTCTCCATCGTGCTTCTTCCTCTGCTGCTTCTCTGTCCAGTTCTACTTTACCTGCGCCAGTCCTGCAGGGCAGGGCTTAGAGGGCAATATTCGGTTCGAGAATTGGGACTCACCAGTGTGCACGATCGAATTCTAGACCACGCCTTTCAGCCTGGATGCACAAGCAAGGCGCGACTAACATGACGGTACCCATGACCTTTAAAGGTAGAGGGAGTACTCGGAAGGATGCCCATCGACGGTTAAGCAACAGTGAAGTCGGGATAGCGACAGCTGCGCTGGCAAGTGCGCCTTCTGCTGCACCGCGGATGGTAGCACTGGTGTGGCCGTCGAGTTCTTCCTGAGTGACAATCTTCATTGTTGTAGTAGTGTAGGGCTTTAAACTTTGCTCTCGTTGCTTTCCGCGACGGTGACCTGTGGAGAGTAAAACAGTCCAACCCTGCAGTACTTATATCTTCCGACCCCACGCTTGGGAGCGCCCCGGTGACTTGAAGAACTGATGGCTGTGCTACGGCCCCACGGTTGAGTTCGGAACGATACGGGCAACTGGGGCTCCGTCGATGACTGATTGTCCCGAATAATTCCGATTCCATCACGAGCTTGCAACAGTATGAAAAAACTTCGCGGCCAACGGCCAGCGCTAGGACCTCTCTGGACGACGCCGTGTGCAGGCTAATATAGCACTCCACTATTGAATCGGTAATTATTTACTAGCTCCGACTCGGAAATTTCAAATTATATTTCTCCGTCCCCTTTGAATTCTCAGTTGCCTCTGGATCCAACTTGTACTATGCATTCGCCTTGCAAAATGGCACTCGCAGTTTCCAGCTCTTTCAAAGTTACCAGCCATGTGTGCGTTGACTGTTTGTGAAGAGTCCGCTACGCCACCACGCGTGACGTCATAAGGTATGTTGTAACTTTTGTAGTGAATTTTGTGAAGAGCCTCATAAGCGAATGTATTTTAATACTATAGTGGCTAGCTCTAGCATATATAACGGGCATCTTGTCGTCCTTTAACCTCAAGCCCTTCTTCCCTCCCACTTTCCTCACCTTCTGCATCCTACCTCACATTCTTTTCCAAGCCGTTCTTTACCATGAGACTGTCATCATTTGCTATTCCAATCCTCTCTGCATCAGCCACGTTCGCTCTCTCCAACTTGCATCGTCCTTACAGGCGCACTACTGTGCCCGTTACCTGTGGTTCTCTCAACTCCGACCTCGTTCTTAACGACGTCGTCGATAGCAATGGTACGCCATTGTTCTTTCGTCCTGAGACTCGAGTTGACTGTCATTTGAATCAGGCAAAGCCACCGTCGCAGGCCACATCGCAGCTTGCCTTTGCCTTACAGATGTTGAACAATTCGTGGAATCAAACCCCGTCGCACAGAAAGCTGTCCAACTTCTTGGCGACCAAGCCAAGGTAGAGGCCTTGATCTCCGACATGGTAATATTTTCTGCATGTATTCTTAGCTGCATTCGGTGACACTGTCTTGTAATAGGTCTCAGGTCTTCCGACAGCCGCGCAATGCTCTTACCCTGATCACGCTCGTGCTCTTTGCACGGACTCCAATCCGTGCGATTTTGAATGCACCGATGGCTTCCTACCTTTCCCTGCAGAAAGACCCACGTCTTGTATATGCCCTGACTACCTTACGGAGTGTAATGGACAGTGCGTTCCTTCCAAGGATTGCCCCATCAAACCACCTCCATCTCGTCGTAACAACGATCCCCATTGTGCTGATGGCCTCACCATGTGCGGAGTCCCTGGTAAAAGCACTGGTCAGCCTTGGAAGTGCGTCGATGTTACAACCGATCCTACAACTTGTAAGTCATCTCATCGCAGTTGCATCACTAGACCCTCACATCAATAGGTGGTGGGTGTGTTGCGGCATGTCCTTTCGGAAACGCACCCTGTCAACGGTGTGAATTGCAAGGAAATCAAGGGCGTTATTCCTGACACTGTCACTTGTGGTAACGGGCGTTGCATCGTGAAAGAGTGCGCAAAGGGCTACTACGTTTCTCCTGCTTCGGACACATGCATTCCTATGTCCGAAGACGCTACCGCTAGCTCTGAGCAACAAGGCGGAGCTACTATTCCTGGCACTAGTGGTTCAACTGAAAGTACCGAAGGTCTCAAGTCTTCTCCTCGCGGGCTTAACGTACCATCGAAGCATGTTGCGGGTACCAGTATCGCTTCAGCAGGTGGTTTGAAGACTGGCGATGTTATTGATAAGATTGAGCATGGAACTGGCGTTGTCGTCGTCGAGCCAATTGTTCGTGGCCTTAAGCGTTTCACTACCGGTGGTCATGGAGGTCCCGTAGGCGTTGTCGCTCGTGCTATACAAGGCGCCAAGGTGGTTTCTTCTGCTGCAGGTGCAGTTCAAGTAGCTTAATCTGTTTTGCACCCTTTGCTATCCGTTCCTCACCTACGATAACAGCTTTATAGTCACTCACGGTTTCACTTAGCATTGACGACATCATCACACAGTATATAATCCTCATCAACGTTAGTCATTGAATATACTCAATTACCGACTCAATAAAGGCGTGGATGAATGCATAAATCTATCTAGTGACGTCGGTGCTGTCCATCGTTTCAGTGATTATCACATTTATCACATCTCACTACGATTCTGCAGTTGCTCCATAATCATATGACGTGAAAAGGATCATGTGGTAATTCACCATCCTCCATTTTCAATGTGCTCTAATACCTCCAGGATATGATGCTCCAATATGAACTTTAATAATTGTGATATACAATTGAGCGCGACACTAGCTAAGAATATCTTCCTAGGCTTCGATTGAAAATTCTACCTGCGATTCATCGTAGTATTCATTTGACCACCCGCGTACTTGTACGACATAGTTTAAAATCGACTAATTTTGTTGTACGCTCATCCTCCGATTCCACAAGTTATATCAGTGTATGACAGGTATGGCGTCTTGGAGTTCGTTTGGGGCCGATGGAGTTGGAGCATGTCCTGTTGTCGTGTATACCCTTGATGTACTTCCAGATCCGATCGATGTCCTATCGCAGCGAAAGTAGAGACTCGCCGTATACGTACATGCTCGATGGCACCATCAACGAGTACTACCAAGCTTGGTGTCCAAGCAGTGACGTCAGACAGTTATCCATTGACGTCACGATTAAATATGACATTGTATGGTGGTACACGAAGCTAGTATAAAACCTGGAGGCCAACTGCCACGACAATCTACTTTCCCAATAATTAATAACTACGAGAAAGCACAATGTCTTCGTCTACCGCACACCCATCTGCCGTAGGCACTAACACCCAACCCACAACGGCTTCCACCGAAGCTCCAACTCAACCAACCATCACCGACGACAGTCAAATTCCGCCGCAAAGACACGCAGGAGCCACTGGGCTTGGTCCCTTGTACGGACAGGGAGCAGTAAGTTCGCATCAACCACTTCTCAGAGCTTCTAAACGAAGTCGCGTCGCGTTATAGGGCCTTGGAGATAAGCTCGGCGGCTTGCAAGAGGAGATCAAGGGAACGATCACCAAGAACCCAGAACTAGTCGAACATGGGCGCGAGCGGCGTACAGGGATTCTGAAGAAGAAAGAGCAAGAACAGGTACGGAATCAAGCGTTCCACTACTTCAACTTCTCGTGGCGCTCATGTATCTTAACCAGGATGAGGAAGACCCGTTCGCGAAATCAGAAGACCACAGTCAGGCCTAAGGTAGTGGGAGACGCTAATATCCACTAGTCATGAGCGTGTGTTGGTGCATGCGGTAACTTTGACTTACCGAATATAAATGTCATTGCATGGTTGCGTCTCTATCTCTACGCACGTAAGTATAAATTCTAAGAGGCTGAACGAAAGTGAGCAGCACGAACTGTCGTGGACAATCATGCGTAGTCCTCTCGAGCCCGGTCATGGTGACAACATCGGGCCTCGAACCCCTGAATGAAAAGTAAGCTCCTGATTTCATCCATCCTCGCTCGACAGACCACGACACTTCCTTCGTTCAAATGATCCGCATATATGTATTGGAGATGGCAGATGAGCGTGGTAGCTGCAGGTTCAAGATTCTTGATGGTGCTTACGAGGCTAATCTGACCAAGATATCTGATACGCATCGAAAGGTCGACTTCATTCCATTCAATCGGCAAGAATAAGCCCGAATTCATGCATTTTTTTTTGACAACAGAAACTTTTCAGAGCGAGACTTTCCTCGTTTCAGACTGGTTGGCTCATACACCGAAGAAGGTGGTGACCAAGAACTTTGACTTTGATTGCAGCGTGTTTGACAAGCTTCCGTAGAAAGGTGATGAATCTGATAGCGACAGTTCTTCACTGCAAGAAAATCGATATTGTCAACAGAAAAGTATATTTGCGGGGTCACACCTGATACGTCCTCGCGTGGCTTACTGTCTGACGTTCCAAAGTCCGAGCACCGTTTTGAGCTTCGCCTAACCCCGCTCAAGACACTGGGCTGTACAGTCCGCATTGCTGATACTTCAGGTTTCCATGTCTCAACAGTCATTGCTGCTGCCCATCTGATTATAAAAGCTCATGGCCTGTAGGAGCTTCACTAGCAGACGAATGCCGATGAATGATCATTCTTCATTCGCGGTCGTGCTCGAGTGGCTGTTTTCGCTGGCAATGGAAAATGCGCGTATTTGTATTTTCAACCTGAAGATGTCGGGATCGTGCCCTGGAGCCTTGGTCAGCATCGGGGATGAAAAAGTAAAGATGCCTGAGGCCTTAGATTGGTTATCGACCAGTAACTTACTGCAGTGGAGTGACGGTTCGATTTGCTTGTGACTGATTTAGAAGTCCGATCGATGTACACAGGTCTAAATTCGTATCAACATTCCCTTGCTTGCAGACCAACACTCCAGTAGCATGAGCCAACCTTGGCCTAGTGGTAGAGTGATGGTAAGCAGCAGTAGCTATGCCTGATCTGCCTCTGGATTATACGAATTATGGCCTCGCAACACATCTAATATCATATTTCCAATCAAATGGCCCTACTATGTCTCTCGGATCCAATTCCAGGGTGAGTCTTTAGTAAACAGTTTCAGTGATGAGAATGGCATAGCAGCGTTTCAAATTTTTCAGTCTAGTACCATGCTCGGTCTCATTGCAGGTGGATTTGGAAAACCATATCTTGGAAAGTGACATGATGATAGACATTCTCCCGGAACAGGTGAGATCGACCCTGCATACAGCGACAGTGTTTCTGATGACGGTCATATGTATAGCTAATAAAGCTCATGTGTCTTTAAGCTTAGACTGTTCAATCATGACGCGGTCCGTGGCGCTGCTGCGACAGCTAAAATGCACTACAGGGCTGTCCAAGGCGAACTAAACGCGGAGATGACACGGACCTACAGTATTTCTACGGTGCTGACGTCCATGTTTCACCAAGCCAGGGTCAGCCCATGCTGCTCCAGTGTCGGTCTACAATCAAGAGAGAGTTGAGAATGCGACATGAATTTACAGGTACGCCCGTAATGCTAGAGTAAACATCAATCAGACTTCTAAATATTCCAGTCGCAGAAAATCGAGCTATAACTCTACACATAATTGGTACTTGAAGCCTGTGAGGAATAGAGCAGTACTCGGTTGTGGCGGCCTGAGACAAACCTTGCAGGTCTCACTACTCGATTCAGAATAGTTCGGTTTGAAGTTGAGCAACCGATAGTATCACGGGTTTCCGAGTCTCCTCTTTCTCCACACACATCTACTTTGCCGAGATTTCGGTTTTCATCTGCCAATCTGCTATTCGTGTTTAATTTGGTAATCGTAAGTAGTGATTCGTTCTTTTGATGAAGTGTCAAGCCAAAGCTCAGACGGTTAACAGCAGAACCACTGCAACGACTCGCAGGGATGTCTCGTGGGAGGCGGGTGTCATTGTCGCTGACGTATCTGTTTTAATACAAGTGTGCATAATCGTATCTAAAGTCGCCGCCATCCGTTTCTGAACGTTGACCCACAGAACCACCGGTTACAGATCAGAAAAACTCTTTATGAGACTTGACATAGTGAGATCCGGTCATTTCATTAATGGTTTCAGGTATAGTATTAACGGCGGCAACTTTTTGTCTAGACTCAGATAGGATGCCTCGAAGATACTTAAGCTGCTTGTGAGGTGTGGATCTTTACCATCGCTTGAGATGTCCCCCTCTCTCATGATCTTTCAGGTTATATTTGCCATCACATGCCTCTTTCTAGTCGTTCACCAAGCTCGACGAAAAAGTTCATCCAATCTCTCCTTTCCCCCTGGACCCAAGGGCTTGCCGGTGCTAGGTAACCTGCTCGATCTCAACGGCAGTCAGCCATGGATTAGCTTCACTCAGTGGGCATCGACACGCGGTAGAGTCCATCAATTTTCCACAAAAAAAATCCTTCTTACTTTTTTTAAGGGGACGTCATCTATTGTAGGCTGTTCGGACGGCAAATTATTGTTCTACAATCACAGGAAGTTGCCAAAGCACTGTTGGAGCATCGCTCTAGTATATATTCTGACAGGCCACCACTCTCTACCATAAAGGCGTAAGGGAATCAATATTCAGCATGCTATATACACATCTGACACTCTTATAGGATCGGATCTGAGTTTAACAGTGCCCAGTTAAGGTATTCTGATGAATGGAGATTACATCGACGAATTTTCCATCAATCATTCCGACCCGAAGCAGCAAAAGATTACTTACCTCTTCAACTTCGCAAAGCTCGTCAGTTGTTACAGGGCATCATAGAATCCCCTGAACGCTACCAGCGCCACATCGAATTGTAAGTGATAGTTTAGCCTTTAGCAAGCTTAATTACAAAATGTGGTAACCCTAGCTTCGCCTCTTCCGTCATCATGTCTGCTGTATACGATTACGAGGCCAAGCTGAACGACGACCCACTTTTACTTACCGCTGAAAAGGCGATCAAAGTGTTTTTGGAAATGGCAAGCCCCAAGACTTCAGCTATCCTGGAGACATTTCCGTTTCGTGAGTTTTTATTAGTCTACCTTTCCAGAAATTCATCTCTGACTTAGCGTAGTGCTAAGACTGCCCTCTTGGTTTCCCGGCGCGAGTTTTAAAAGACTCGCTATCCAATCACAAAAGAATGCTGCAGCCATGGTCAACATCCCGTTCCACTATGCACGAGAACGCGCAGTAAGCATTTATGCCCCGAATAAGAATCAATCCCATTGACATGAGGTGCAGATGACTGCAACTTCGAATCAGTGTATGATCTCGGAGTCTTTTAAGCGGTTAGACACGCGCGGTAATGCGGACGAGTTCGAGCTTGCGTTGAAGTCGTCTTCTGCTACAGCATTCATTGGTATGATACGATTCATTTCCTGAGTGACACTACTAACACATGCTCGTATCTAGCTGGAGTTGAAACGGTTGGTCCCACTGTTCTACATTGACGTGTTTCCCACGAACTGACGGATAATCAGACTGCATCAACGATTACTGTCTTTGTTCTTGCAATGATGCTCTATCCAGATGTACAGAAACGTGCACAAGATGAGATTGATGCAGTTATAGGCGACCAACTTCCTACCTTTGAAGACCGGTCTTCATTGCCATATGTGGAAGCAGTCTTGCGCGAGACCCTTAGATGGCATCCAGTGTTCCCTCTTGGTGGGTTGATCCCCTGTATCGTATGTCAGGATCTTACATTTGCATGCGATAAATTAGGCTTGCCGCATTACACTACAGATAGTGACGTGTACAATGGTCATCATATCCCCAAAGGTCTGATATTTTCTATATCGCATCACTTTCGCTGCTAACCATCATGTAGACGCGATCGTCATGGCAAATATCTGGTGCGTGGTGGTACTTGCTAGCCTTGAGTTATGTTAAGGCGACTGTTACAGGGCCATGTCAAAAGACGAACTACAATACCCGAACCCTGATGACTTCAAACCAGAGAGATTTTTCATGGCTGATGGACAATTGAACGACGATACTGTCGACTTTCCTTTCGGCTTTGGGCGCCGAGTATGTGTTGGAAAGTACTTCGCTGATGCTTCCTTGTGGATTTCTATAGCGTCTCTGCTAGCAGTTTTCCGTTTTATGAAACCATTGGACAATGAAGGAAAAGAAATAGACCCTATCTTCCAATGGTCCACTGGATTAATTTCGTGAGTATCTTGTTTTATGTCATCGTCCAAGAAAGTACCACGAGCTCACGGTTGAGATGAATCAGACACCCTGAATCCCTTCCTTGCCGTGTCAATCCCCGACACCCCGACATGACTGCACACAAGCTTGCAGACTTGATAGACCTCAGTGCATAAAGCAAGCTGCTTCGTCAGGGTCAGTTGTACGATTATATCTAAACGGAGGTCACTATCATTTTTGTACATATCACGCAAGTTAAACTTGAAATTGATTCCGATTCTGTACAATGACAAGTCAGTTCGTACTCAACTGTGGACTGTATTCAGGTAGTATTGTGGTGTCGGAGGAGCAGGCAGGCAGTGTAGGGGAGTAGAAATTTTTTTGGGCGAGCTCTGCCAAGAGAACAGCAATTGGAAGATCGGCGGAATTGACCAAAGGCGTCTCTGTAGAAGCTGTACTCCTAATCTGGCCGAAAGGGTGGCTCGGTGAGTGTTTAGGGTCTCGCACTATGTATCACTCACCTAAGACATCTTGGAGCTACGATGAACATGGAGAACCTGTTTTTGAATTTCGATTGACTGGGCGGTTGATTGTCTCCCTGGAAGACCATCTGTCAAAGTTGTTCGGGTACCTTAGTACTGCTACAATTTATTAACCAACCAAGAACGCCTGCACACTTTATCACTGGCCAGATCGAAAAGAAGTGAAGACCAATATGTCCCATTTGTGAGAGCGTACCGGATCAAACCATGGCTTGTCGTTTGGTGATGTCTGTGAAGACCTCAAAATAGGGAGGAAGAGATTTCCTATCAACTGGTCGGGATTCGATGTGATTAGGGCTTACTATATACTAATCTGACATTGAATATTTGTCCGGCTTAGCGGCAAAGTCGAACTGTAAATTAAACATCCACCATATATTTTCAAGTCTGACTATCGTTCAACTGGTTGATACACTGACTCCCAAATTTTCTGATGTTTGAGGGGACTTGAGGTGACGACACACGAGTTAGAAAATGCAACACAGCAATGTCACCAGCTGCATGTAGTTCAGTCAAAATTTAAAAACGAGCACGTGAAACAACTGGGATTGTATCGCATAGGCATTCAACACAGAGTCAGCTATATAAACGAAAAGACAAAAACAAAACAAAGGATAGAAGCTAATGACGAAAAATGTCCAACATGGGGTCTATGACCCCAAAGGACTAAATCTGAAACAAAAAAAAAAAAAAGGCATTCAACATGTCAGAAAACAAGCAATCAGGTAAGGATGTAGATGTACAGGGAAGTTTCTTGTGGGTGAGACTGCGGCGATGCCGGACCTAGTACACTTCATCTCATTTCCCATATCCGTAATACTTACGATCTTCTGCGTTCAGTTCCTCGCGCTGCTCTACAGCTAGCAGCAAGTCAGTACAGTTATCAACTTCCACATGGTAATAAATATGAACACTCACAGGAACGCTTCGCGATGTTATCGAACTTCTCTTCATCCCTTTTCCCATATCCGTAATACTTACGATCTTCTGCGTTCAGTTCGTCGCGCTGCTCCACAGCTAGCAGCAAGTCAGTACAGTTATCAACTTCCACATGGTGATAAATATGAACACTCACAGGAACGTTTCACGATGCCAGCTCCCTGCATAGTAGGGTACGCTGTAGCAAGAACGATTACAGATGCGAGCACGCTAAACACAAGAGAAAGCTTCATGTTTGAGTTAAGAGGGGCGACTGGTAGGAGTTTGTCAATGCATTACATTGGAACTTTCATGAGGGTTTTATACCTTTTCGTAGATCCACTCGTGACTCGGGTCACTTGAATTAGCTGGCGCCTTGTCTACTCAGAATCAAACTTTAACGAGGAAAGGCGTTAACCAGAATGCTCATATGGACAACACTCACGATCTCGTATTCCCCGATCGGCAATTTGAAGGTCGCGACGATCCGAACTGTGGAACTTGGGGAGCCACCGTACCTGTGGCCTTTGACCTATGAGGCAAAAGCCTGTTCAAGGACAGGGTATCGGTCATCGATTCATCCCGGATGGCTGTTGCGTAAATTTATTGTCGGCAGCTAGACATCGACGTCCTAGTATCTCGTCAGTTCCCGATGATAGAACTTATATTTGTGACATTATGTTTTATGCGAGTATTTTGGGTACCATGGGGCAAGTTTGTTTGACTCTTGTCCAACAGTTTCCGACTGAAGATCGTTTGTTAGTGTCAGCTCCTCAGGCTAGATTGGCGCACATCCTTGAGAATTCTCTGTACACGAGCATTAAATCCGCGTTATCTAAAATGAAAAGAAGAACAATGATGTCTTCATGCGATCCGCGGCACGGCTGAGCGCTTGCCAATGGAACTTAGTGCCAAATTCATGAGTTCTCTGATGCGCCCATCAGTATTCCAGGACAACACCCTCAATGATTGCAGTGTCCGAATTCTTGCTGTCGTACGAGGTTTGAAAAACAAATTTTGATACCAATGAGGCTCAGTTCTAGAATCCAGTTTCTGATTGCACGGTTAGAACTTCCCCAGGACCGGAGTACGTAGATGGAACCATTTAATTGTAGCGTTATCAGGCTATATGCTCAGATTCGAACTTGAACGAGGAAAAGCAATGGCCTCGCAGGACATGTGTTTCAAGCCACGTTCGGCTAAAACTTGGCCCTGACACGATGATGTCTATGAAAAATAATTCATGCATAAACATAGATGAACTTACTCTTTGAGCATCTACTGGACCCATACCATCAGACAAAAGCCTATTCCAGGACAGGGTACCAGTGATCGATTCATCCCGGATGGCTGTTGCAGTAAATTTATTGTCAGCAGCTCGACATCGACATTCTAAGACTTTTGTATTTACATGCGGAAAATTTGATGTCTCTAATCACCGCCGCGGCTCTCGCTGTAGTGGAGAACTCACGGTATCAAGGAAATTTGTCGCCAGGGTGTACAAATCATCCGGGTGAGTGATTGAAAACTATTACTGGTGTACATCCCATTCGGAAGTAAAATGTGTAATGGCGGCGGCAACAAGGACATCATCGTAAACTTAAGCGCCTGGCTACTAATTTTAGAACATCAGTTAGTATTCCCCTAACCTTAAGCTTGATTTGCTGATTCTTGGCTGGCGCTCATGGGGTGGTCATCCTGTACCAACCACGTACGAGTTATTTATCTTCGTCGCTAAAAGCAATATGAGATTATGATGCCAAGTACGACTAGTCCGTTCTTCTGATGCGCTGGTGGTGGCCCGGCCCTTAGTGATCTGTGTCATCCTGTATACTTACCAACCACGTACGAGTTTTTTCAGGACCTTTCAATATCTTCGCCGCTAAAAGCAATATGAGATCATGATGCCAATGGCCCGCAATCAACTTAACGTACGACTCGTCGGTTCTTCTGATGCGCCGGTGGTGGCCCTACTATCAGCATTCCGGGACAACACCCGGGCCCTCGATGATTGCTGTATTGCTCTTCCTGCGATACATCACTTACGCAAGGTTTTAAAATCAGATTTTGATAACAACGATTGCAATGAGGTGAGGTTCTAGGATCCAGTTCTGATTGCACAGATAAGGCTTACTGTAAACGCGGAGAACTTGATGTCTTTAATCACCGCTGCGGCCCTTGCTGGAATGGCATCCCATGGAAGTAGATACTCAGTAAAACTTTCATTAGTATCATCGTCCCTTTGTGGCTTTGCTATCAGACACAACTCCATCTCAGGCGCGACTCAAACGACGACGACGACATAGATGCTGACAGAAATGAGTAGTGACGGTACTTGACAGAGTTCACCAGCGCGACGTTAGAGAACAACATAGATGTACGACTCTTCTCATCGTTCTTGCAAGATACTACACTCGTGAGCTTGAAATTCAGCGCGCAATGATGTATAAGAAGTCTCCCTTATACACCATTGTGCATCAGATGGAAGGGCAAGGGGATGTCGACTGTATCTTCGAAACGAGTAACCACCTCTTCCGGTACATGAACAGCATGCTCGACGGCCCAATCCAAGATTTTCTCGTAGTCCCTGCATTGGTGGCGGGTGTTGAAATTAGGGTATGGGATTTTGTGTCCCTCAACCCAGTACCATGTTATCGTCGTCACGTCGGCATTGCACATGATATTCTGCCTGATCATTTCAATGCAATGATCTGTAATGTATACGAAAATCAGTAGATGCATAAATAAATAAATAAGCATATGTACCAAGATGCATGCGGACTACTTCGGGTGCGTCTTGGAACGAGATATCCATGGGTTCGTAATACTCAGGCCACGTGGATTTGCGAAGGAAATTCTACAAAATATGAAGCTAGAACGACTAGACTTTTGGTGTAGTAGTATAGCTTACCAGACAATGGAGTTGGTGAGGGGCTTCCATAGACACCATGAAACCTCCACCAAATTCGGCTGGATATTTGACCTTGGAAGGCGAATCTATTTCGCCGGCTTTAAGAATTTCCTCAAGCGACATCCGAGTTGGTAGCACTGAGGTTTCATGGACATAAACAATGGCTGATTAGGATGAGGGGAAAACGGACGACACACCATCGCGACCTATCCTGTTCCAAGCGGCATCAATTTCTGGGGAAGGAGGGCCACGATAGATAGAAGGAAAGTCGAGGGTTCCATTGAGTCTTACGACGATGGGGTCAACAGCACCACTTGCAGGAGCTGTGACAAATCATCAACACGATGTATCAACTATCCGGGGATTGTTCACTCACAGTATACAGCAATGTCATCACGCAGGTGGGGCGAAGGCGTACCCATCCACAGCGCGAAGAAGAGCATCGATGTACATATCAGCGCGCCATGACTCAACACAGGCCACACGCGCATGATATCATGCAACTTAGGACGAAACCTTTCTGCATCATTGAATGATTGCTCCTCGTTATCATTGTCGACAGCATCAACAGGAGAGTACTGTGAGGAATCTTGACCATGACTCTGGGGGAACTCGGGGTTGAGGGTGGATGCGAGAAATATCTTGGAGTGTAATACCTAGTGTTCCCATACGTATGTCATGTCATAACGAGGGTTCAAACGTTCACCGGCACCGATGCCGGATGATCGGAGAAGTGAAAAACCAAGAAGTGAAAAACCATATGGCTGTACTAGTAGTAGTGGCGCGAAGAAGAACTTCTAGAGCGCTAAGATCCAGTCTGATAACGCATAATTAAGGGGTTCCATCGACGGGTCACCGGTGAAGATCAGGGGCCGGAACTGAAAAACCATACTAGTAGTGCTTGGCGTGAAGACCTTCTGGCAATTTCCAGTCTATAATTAAGTGGTTTACTCCTGGGTTTTAACTTGACCACGAGTACAGCTTTGTTCCAAGTGTCAGCTGCGAACTTCAAGTCCCTTTCTTGCGCACGCCAGCTATGCACAAGGAATATTTTGCATCGTATTCTCCCGTCGAAGATCGTGACGATGCGAGCTTTCTTGATAGCAATACAGAAACAAGACCTCTTCCAAAATATCGTTTCTTTCGCTGGTCGCCATGGCTAAGCCACGGTGTGCTGATGTCTATAACGATGATGTTCTTCATACTATGGATACGAGCACCGTCCATCGACGATGTAGTTCTGTACTGTAGGTGGTCAGACAGCGTCAACGCACAGGAACTTGCTTACTCGTTACAGCTCCAGCAAACGAAGCGATCGAATCCATCCGGCATCATAAGATTCAACGGAACTCTGGGCACTCCTTCTATATATCGTGGCAGCCCGTCTCCAGAAATCGATGCCACTTGGGATAGGGTAGCTTTGAATGGTTGCACCCCATACTTCACCTACATCGTACACATCTACTGACTGTATTTCCCAGCGCGTCAAATCCGTATGACCCGTGAGCAACTGCTCAGAACAGGGGAGAAGCCTTCTCCGGCCATGGTCAGGTACCCGGAGGAATACGGCGGAGGTTACACGACAACTGTAGAAGTCATTCACCAGCTCCATTGCTTAGTCAGTTGTACTACAGGAAAGCTGGTCAATTTTTACTCACTCCCCTGTAGGACATGCTTCGCAGAGCCAGCTGGGGTAATCAATCCGTGGGTCATGGCGCTCACGAATCCCCCCAATCCCTCCAAGAGTTCCGCGTTCATCTCGGTATGCATGCTGTTTCCTGTCCGGATCATGTCTGCTAATTATGTTGTACCTCAGATCACTGCATCGAAATGCTGAGGCAAATCACCATGTGTCGTGGCGACGTGACAATGCTCACTTACGACTGGGTCAAGGGTGTGAAAAATCCTTTTCCTAACTTCAACGTTCCTCACCGATGCAGAAACTTGGAGAAGGTCTTTGATTGGGTTGATGAGCATCGTGTTTTTATCCCTAATTCCAAAGTGGTGCGCTTGGAGGATAACGTGGACCTGCCTTCCCCTCCTTGATTGTAGTCTCGATATATTCCCAGTGACGGCTCTCGCGTAGATCACGATATGATGACGGTAACAGTTGAAAGTCAAATTGATTGATCATAGAACTGCACCACGAGGTCGGAAACGAGCAAGAAGCCAGCGCAGTATCAAGCACATATTTTGAATATAGCTGGATGTATCTCCTTCGTGAGCATCATACACCGAGTACCCTTCCAACACGGGTCTATCCGTGAAGTACAGAAACGCAGAAACTATTTGCTTGACCCACTCGCTATAGCCGATGTCCGGAGACAGTCCAGAAAAGGTGTGAGTACTACGACGCAAGTGGAGACAAAAGTCGTAACCCAGATGGCACGACTCAATAATAGTCTCTTGACATACGACTCGCGGATGGTGAGCGTACGGAACAGTGTCGACTCTGGACGTCCGAGGAAAACGAGGATGGAATCGAGTTCGCGTGAAAACTTTCTTTGATTTAGGTTGTACATCAAGAAATAAAGGAGAAGCAGGCGGCAAGGCCCATCCACAGCACAACGAGACCGACAACGAGTCAGACTAACGCAGACACGGGAGCGAGGTTTCTAAACGCTTTATCCCTCAGAAGACGCGAGAAAGCATCTTGCTCCATTGCTCTAAAGCAGTACTCCTTCTACGCATGGAGCATATGCGCCAACATGTTCAAGTCGCTCTGTGATTTCGGCTCTCGAGTGCTACTGAAGAGAAATGACTTCTGTACAGAGGGCGGGAGAGAGATAGATTTCGTGATTTTCCGGCGAATCTGTGGTGCCAGCTGGAGTGAGATACCTGGAGAACTTCAAGATGAGCTCAGCGGATGCGATGAGGTCCACAGGATTAATCGCAGCGGGACGTGGGACGGCAACTTCGTCATGCGAAGGGGTTGACCGCATTTTTGGTCTCACGTGAGCAACCATTTGCGAGACCAATGTAAAAGTCACGTGATATAAAGGGGGAAGGGAAGAATGCGCAGGTTAATTCGTGTGGAAGGGGCGGGAAAAGGATAATGAGGGGAGCAAGGGGTTTGAATAATGAGGGTACTGAATGTAAATACAAATAAAAGAAGTTATTAGATTAGTAGTGAGGGGGGAAAGGTGCAAGTAGCTAAAGAGCTAAAGAAAAGTCAAATAATTTAAAAACAAAAATAACTACACTAGGCCCAGTGCTCCTGGAGGTACACAGCATGAAGGTGCTTGATGCCATTGTGTTGATCTTGTAAGGATACTATGTCTTCTACGCCCCGACCATGACTTCAAATCAATGAATGGACTTAACACCCACCATCCGCGTGACTCATTGATGTGAAGAAGCATCACACTTTGCATCTGAGTCACACAGACACATTAATTTCTGCTTACCTTCATTATCTCACCATCATCAATGATGAGCACAGTCTTTTGGTCTCCCTTACATTCTCACTTTGCTGATATCGACCCTCAAAACCCTTTTCTGGTTACATTCCACATTCTCACTTCGCCATACCAAAATCTGTCAATAACGCTATGAAATTCTCATCATTATATCCAAACCGAACTTGTCTATACTGCCACTCATTCAGTTCTTTCGTACTCTCTCTCTTGCTTGGACTACCTATCCCTCAGGAACATCACCACTCCCTTCTGCTTCCGTTTTTCACCTAATAGTACAGATTATTCATACCCGAAGACTCTTAATGTTTTGTGCTTAAATACTGTCCATGTACACTCCCATCTAATAGCAAATTTTACCAGTCTTTTCCCACTCAAAACTCACTCACAAAGCTTCAGAAACACATCTCTAACAATTATTCTCACTTTGTCTTGCTCTGCTCTCACTACACCTATTCCAAACATGTATCCCTCATGCTCGGACCCAGTATCCTTGCGCTATTAGCCCCCCCCCCCCCCCCCCCCCCAATTCCTAAACCCCAGTTTATTTCTCAAACCAGCTCCTTGCCTGTTACGACTTGGATGGTATCTGTTGGCGACGCTCAAACAGAGCGTGTGTCGTCAATGGTCGAGGACGTCCTTGGGCTAGCCCAAGGTTAGGGGTCTTACTTGGCGAGGCTTTGGCAAGTAAGATTTGACGCCTATGTCCAAATCGGGTAGCTTACGTCAGGCGGATGCTAGACGATGAGCTGTATCTGCCAAGGCTTATGACACCCGAAGGTTAATCGTAAGATCGTCGTTAATTTAGAAGGACGGAAGTCCGACTAGTTAACAGGGGTTTTGCTCGTCGACGAAGTCGATGAGTAAAGATTGAGACTATAGGCTTATCCGCGAAGAGCAGATAAGAAGATAGAATATAGACTGCTGGCAAGGCAGAAAGGATCACTCTTGTGAGAGTAGGAGGTCAAGAACCAAGTAGATTCAAGTTAGGGAATATAGTACATGGTAGCGAGTTTATATAGAGGACAGGAAGCGTATTAGTGGGTGATAACTCGTACTACCAAGAGAAGTAATCAGTAAAGGGTATAACCATAAAAGGAAGGCACATTCAGGGTGAGACACGGGTGAACCAGAACGTGCTTGATAAGAAAATGAGTCAAAGGTCATAATAAGAAGTGAAACACGCAGGGGCACGATTGTGCAACTGCTGGAGCTAAGTATAAGTCGCATGTGCGACTGCGCACTGAGTCAGAGATCAAGAAAGGGAAAAGGGCAAAGGGGATGCGTCGTGCATCATATCATAGGCTACCGTCCAGACTGGTAAGGGCAAAGGGACTGTCCACAGGATCAGTCAGGTGGTGGAACGGAGCATGGATATGCTTCGTCAGCGAACAGGATCTGGCCAGATGTACTGGCTCTGCTGAAGCTGACAGGTAGAGAGCGAAAGGGAATGCTGAGGATGACAAGGATGACAAGGGTAAGGTCGGGGTAGGGGTGTGACGCAAGGGCTGATACGAGAAGGATTAGGAGAAAAATGGTAGGGGCCCAAGCGTCTAGATGTTCTTGTAACATTGCCTATTCTGCCTATTGTCTCCTCCCAACCAACCTCAAACCGCACCATGTCACAATCACTACTCGTCCCATCCTCAACAGCACATATTGTACCTCCTCAGCCATCACAAGCCATGTCTAATGCCTCCAAAGGCATCAATGTGATGCCTGGGGCCAACTCCAGCAAGGCTCCATCATTCAATGGCAAAACTTCGGAACTTCTAAAATTTTTCGAATCTTTTCGAGGATTTGGCTGATGCTTGTGTGCTTACTGGCACAGAAAAATGCAAAATGATTGTTTGATATGTTGACCTCCAGATGAAATGTTTCTGGGTGACACTAATGCAATATGAAAGTAAAGACTTTGATGTTTTTAAAGCCAGCATTTTAGCACAGTATTCTGGAGCTGCCAAAGGTCAGCACTACACCATATGCAACTTGGAACAGATCGTGATTAGTAACATCAATAATGACATTTCGACCGAGACAGAACTCCTACAATACTATAGACAGTTTCGCCCCATAGTGCACTGGCTCGTTGCAAACAACAAGATATCGACACGAGAACACGATCACTATTTTTGGCAAGGTCTACCACCTACAACTCGATGCACTATTGATAGATGGCTTGAACTGAAGAATCCAAGCTACTCAAGAATGGAAGCCACTGGACTTTGAAGAAGTACTCAAGGCTGGTCGCTTTGTGTTCTCTGATGATGCCTTTGATGCAGACCTCAATGAACCCATAGCAACTAGGATACATACCATATGGGAAGGACATACAGCTTGAACTAAGGCCTCAGCCCTGTGTGATTCAGACAAAGAAGACAAAAGGAAAGGTGCTCAAAAGGAAGTTCAGACCAAGCAGGTAGCCTTCTCAACCCCTCCTGTTGTGCCAGTCAAGTCAACCATAGACAAAGTAGAAGAACTAGCATGCAAAATGCATGGGTTGGATATTGGAGATGTCACTTATGCAGGGTGTTACACTTGTCTTGTTTGCCTTGCCCCAGCAGCAGCTCAGGCTTGGGCACCACCACATTCACACCGATTTGTCAGCACAGCAGCGTCATCATCCCTGCTGTATCTGTTACGACTTGGATAGTATCTGTTGGCGACAGTCAAACAGAGCGTGTGTTGTCAATGGTTGAGGACGTCCTTGGGCTGGCCCAAGGTTAGGGGTATTACTTGGCGAGGCTTTGGCAAGTAAGATTTAATGCCTATGTCCAAATCGGGTAGCTTATGTCAAGCGGGGCTTGATGGTAAGCATATCTGCCAAGGCTTATGACACCTGAAGGTTAATCGTAAGATCTGTGTTAATAGAAGGGCAGAAGTCCAACTAGTTAACAGGGGCTTTGCTCGTTGATGAAGTTGATGAGTAAAGATTGAGACTAGAGACTTATCTGCAATGAGCAGATAAGAAAGTAGAATATAGAAAGCTGGCTAGGCTGAAGGAATCACTCTTGTTAGGAGTAGGAGGTCAAGAACCAAGTAGATTCAAGTTAAGGAATAAGATACATGGTAGCGAGTTTATATAGAGGAGAGGATGTGTATTAGTGGATGATAACTCGTACTACCGGAAAGGGAACTGGTCAAAGGGTGATACTAGAAAAGGAAGGCACATTTGAGGTGAGTCATAGGTAAACCGGAACGTGCAAGTGAGAAACGAGTCAGAGATAGAAACAGAAAGTGAAATGCACAGGGGCACAATTGTGCAACTGCGGAGCTAAATATAAGTATACATGTGCAACTGCGCAGTGAGTCATGGATCAAGAAAGGAGATAGGGTAAAGGGGATGCGACGTGCATCATATCATAGGTTACTGTCCGGATGGTAAAGGCAAGGGGGACTATCCACAGGATTAGTCAGGAGGTGGAATGGAGCATGGGTATGCTTCGTCAGAGAAAGGGTCTGGCCAGATGTACTGGCTCTGCTGGAGTGACAGGTAGAGAGCGAAAGGGAATGCGAGGATAACGAGGATAACGAGAGCAAGGTCAGGGTAAGGGTGTGATGCAAGGGCGGAGACGAGGAGGATAAGAAGAAAAATAGTAGGGGCCCAAGCGTCTAGATGTTCTTGTAACAGTATCTACCATTACCGCCTCTCCCACATTTATCCAACACTCAGTTGAACTCTTCCTGCCCCTTCTATGGTGGCCCTCACCCCATTTGTTCATGCTCCATTATGGGGGACTACTTGTGAGCAGGACAAATCATACGAGATGGTCAATATTTCGCATACCTGGACCGATCACAAATATGACATACAGGGAACGAGAACCTGAAACAGGCTATTGATGTGAGGTATGCTGTTTCAGTCCCACCCACCCCTGCAACTGGATCAAATGTCATTCCCATCGAAACACCGAGGTGTGAAAATGCTCCTCAAACTGTTGCCACCACTGAAATACCTTCCTCAGCCTTCATAACTGAGTCCTACTTTCTCCAGTGCGTTCCTGTCACCGAAAACCATGCCATTGTAGTTAGTATAGAAGAGGAGGAAGATCCCCAGCAAGGAGGAGTACTAGCAGTTACCAGATCCAAGGCTAAGGCACCCCAAGCTCTCAAAAATGCACCTAAAGACCCTATCCTCACTTCAGCTCTTACTCCATCATCAAAATCCACTGAATCTATCACTGTCAAAACCCCCAAAACTCTAGCCTTCAAGTACAAATCCAAAGCTACAGCTCCAGATGCTGTCCAACAAGTTTTCAAGTTCATACTTGGCACAATAGTACCCCACCTCACCGTGTCCAACCTTCTCTTGATAAGTCCAGAACTGCAGAAGGAAGCTGTTGAACATTGCCAAACACATCAAGTTCCTATACCTGTCATGTTGCAACCAGCCAATAGCCACACTTTAAGCATGACTCTGCCAGCACAAGTGGAACATGCCACTCTCTTGCATGAAATCTGTGTCACACTCAATGGAGTCCATTCAAAACTTGCATTAATCAATGAAGGCTCTAAAATTGTCATCATCTGGCAAGATGTCTGGAAGAAAACCAAGGCACTGATCAATCAAAATGCCTGCATGATGCAAATGACAAACAGAGGATCACAGGATATGGATGGGTGCATAGAGATGTTAGAAATAGAGGTAGAAGGAATTAAGACTTGGGTGCATGCTTATGTGGTACCAGACACTCCCTACTGACTATTGCTGGGACAGCCCTGGCAGTGATTTGTCCACTTGTCCAAGGATGAAGATATCAATGGAGTATATATATCAGTACACGACCCCACCAACACTCGAAGGGTTTCGACCATACCTTGTCCCTGGCCCCACCCATCTCATGCCCTTATGGCTGCCTTTCTCACCACCTCTGGTCAACAACTCACTCCAAATCACCAGCAAAACTCTGTGGTCGAGATCAACAATGCAAAGTCTAAACGTGAATTCAAGAAGAACTGTGCTATTAAATCCCTCAAAGCATCAGACCACAGATGGGATGCTTCTATCCCTCTAAGTCAGCAAATCCACCCTTCCCTCTCTTTAACTGCCTCTCCTTTTACTGAATACCTTTTGCAAAACTCCTTCGATGTTGATCCGGCACACTGGACCTTTTCCTACAAGAAAGTCGCCAATAAAGTCAAACCTGTTGCCATGACAATGCTCACACATGCACATATCATCCGCAAATTTCCTGTAGACCCACTCCTTTCTCCTACCTCCCTAGTATTCACACCCAGCAAATGTCTCACACAGGAATGAATCGATGAACTTGGCATCTTTAAAAACAAGTTCTTGTGGCCCAAGGAACGTAAACTTGCTGCCCAAGTTTTGACCAACAACAAGTTCGCTCTTGCATGGGACGAAACCAAAAAGGGTCGTTTTTGTGATGACTATTTTCCTCCAGTCATCATCCCCACCATTGAACACATCCCATGGACTCACTGACAACCACCCATTCCACCTGGCATCAAGGAAGAAGTCATTAAGGTGCTGTTTGGACAGTGAACCCTGGTTCGAAAATTGTGGTTGAAAACAACACATGATGATGGCATGTGTTGCCAGGTGCCTGTCAACAACTGACTAATCTTTGTTGTATACACATACCTTTGATCATTTTATCACCGTCGAAATGTCTGATAGATCCAGCAATGGGTCTACTCACTCCCTGCGCTCCTGAGGTACTCTTGAAGCAGCGGCAGCATCCGGAACATCCCATAAGGCCCCTGCAGTGTGGTCAAAGGCAGAGGAAACTGCCTTTCTTGAGTTCCTCTTGAAGGACCTTCCTTCCTCAGGCGATGGGGGCTTCAAGATGTCCACTTTTAATCAGGCAGCTACCCACCTTAAGGAGAAATTTACACAGCAGAGGGGCGCAGAGAAGACTGGTCTAGTTTGTAAGAATAAATGGACAATGGTGCATCTAGTGAGCCTTTCTGCCACCGCCAATGTTATTATATATTTTTATAGTTAAAGAAAGCATATCATAGTGTCATTGAGATAAAGTGCACTTCGGGTTTCACATGGAGTGATGAGCATGGAGCAGGTATTGCCGATCGAAAGGATGATGTCTGGGCACGGTTTACCAAGGTAAGTACTGCAATATATCTCATGCTATCTAATAACATTACCTTTAGTCACATCCTCATGCAAAGCCCTTTATGACAAGGGGCTTTGACCACTTTGAGATCATGGAGCAGTTAATGCCAAATCAGTTGAAGGGCGCATATGTTTTCCGGCCCACCACAACAGCTGTCTCATCATCCATTTCCCCAGCAACAGAGAGTGCAGCATCGAGTGCAGCACCTCCACCACCAGGGCCACCATCATCAATTGACCCAGATCTCCTTGAGCCACCCACTCCATCTACCTATCTTGCACCTTCTACCAATGGCTCCACCACAGACTTGGCATGGACGAGCATCAGCCATAGCAAACATAAGTACAGTGCACTTGCTGCTGGCTCAACTGCAAGCTCCTAGAAGCGACATCGGCCACCATCTGCCACATTATTGGCACAACAGGAGGGTACTGAGATGATGAAGAATCTTGTTGATGTAGTGCGCGAAATGCAGAAGAATTTCACACTTGTTCCTCCGGTGCTCCCAGTGCCACAGCCAGTGCAGCCTTCCACGCATGTTGGGCGCGCCATCTCCCTGCTCAATAAGTGCACAGAACTCACCAGCAAAGAGCGCCTGTCCATTGCCAACTTCCTAGCTGAACACAAAAACCAAGCGATCATTTTCTACTCGTTGGATGAGGCGACGAGGGTTGAGTGGTTGGAGGAGAAGCGAATACTTTGTGGTGGCGCACCGCGCCAGGCATCAACTGACTCACAGGACCATATGTTCATCTGATAGTGTACTATGTTGGTATCTTGTTTTGTCTCAAATATGAAGTGTTGTTGTTGTCTTGTGCTCGTTTCATTGTGAGTGTGACAAATGCATATATTGTTGTACATAAATTGCGCGATCCCTACTAATACTACGAAGGCAATGGGAGTCCCCTCCGCTCACGTTCCTCAAGATAGTCAGCCCACATTGCTGCTGCAATTGACTCACGACGAGCATCTGCTCATCTTCTCTCAGCAGTATCTGCCGGTCCTTCAGAAAGTGCGCCATGTCCCACTGCATCATCCTCCGCAAGATCATACTCATGGTCTAGGGTGAGGTCAAACAGGTCAGGGTTGTGCCTGCACACGAAGTTGTGAATAGCGCATAGCGCTGCTGGGATTCAGGGCCTGAACGTGCATGCTATATTCCGGTGGGATCATCAAAATGCGCCACTGCCGCTTCAACACGCTGAAGATCCGTTCGATGATATTGCGAAGTGCTGCGTGTCGAAGATTGAACAATTATTTGGGATCTCGTGGCCTAGTACAAAATAATTTAGTAGAAAAACGAATCTAAAGAAATGAACTCACATAAGGTTTGCTTGGCACCATTCCTTCAAATGATAGCTGTACACCTCGATAAGGTATGAGAAGCGCATCGCATGTACCAAAGCCTGCGTCAGCGAGAAGATATTTGTGCGCAGGTATGCGCAAATCATGAGACCATGCGTCATTCCATAGACTAGCATCAGCAGCTGAGCCATCCCAGCCTGTGAGTGAGTAGGTAAAATAGAAGTCGAAGTTGCATATGAATAGACAGTTTTGGGATAAAAATCCCTTTCGGTTGCACAGGACGGTATGATGTTCGAGTGGCGCAAAGACCCGAATGTGAGTGCTGTCAATGGCACCAATGCATTGATTGAAGAATCTGAAGCACGGGTCATCGCGGATTGCCACAGAAATGGGAGTGTTTTCATTTGGGAGCCGGACATTTGTAGTGTAGAAGGGAGAGGATGAAAAAAAAATGAGGATGCGCTTGAAATATCTGTGAAAATCATCAGCCTACTGTTCAGCTTGAATTATTGACATACTTACCTGGTAATCGTGTCTGGAGACCGCTGAAATCGCTCACCAACATGGCGAGATGACAATCCTGTAACACACGTATATAAAAAGATACCCAATTGCTCTTCGACAGTGATGCCGTTGCGGGACTGAACAAATCCGTGTTGCCGCAGAACTTGTAAGAGCTCCTCAAAAGTTTGAACGTCGATGCCGAGATTGTGTTTGATTCTCTCCGGGTGACCACCAATGAGTTCGTACATCCAGGCTTTTCCTGTGAGAATTGACATATGATATGGGGTCTTTTCTGTGTGTGATAAGAATAAGAGATTATATAGGCACGAAATCTGAGCAACTGCAATGGTGATGATGACCATCACAATTTGATGTCGTCGATATAAATTGTTTGCTGTTTGCGCTTCGAGGTCCATGTGGGTGCAGCAATTGTGATTATCATTATAAGATTTACATGTTATATACACTATACTACATGCTATCGATAATCTCTTATCGATAAAATATATCACATGCCATCATCATGTGTTGTTTTCAACCGTGATTTTCGAACCAGGGTTCGCTGTCCAAACAGCACCTAAGCTTATCAAATTGAAGATAGCATCCAGTGTCTACAAACCTTCCAATTCATCCTACCAATCCCATTGGTTCTGTGTTGCAAAGAAAAACAGAACTGTTTGCATCATTCACGACCTCCAGCAGCTTAACTCCATCATCATTAAGGATGCAGCAACAATGCCTTACATTGAGCTTTTTGCAGAACAATGTGCAGGATGCACCATATACTCAATGATGGATTTATTTGTAGGCTTCAATCATCGAGCACTCGCTGAAGAATCTCACGATATCACTACCTTCCAGACTCCCCTTGGCACTTATAGACTTACTGTCCTTCCCCAGGGATGGACCTGACTCCCCTGCAGTATTTCAAAATGATGTAGCATTCATTCTTCAAGCTGAACTCGATGTAGCACCAAACTTCCAGGATGATGTGAACATGCTAGGCCCTCCAACACGATACGAAATGTCAGATGGTTCATTTGAGCTCATCCCTGAAAACACCAGAATTCGCAAATTTGTGTGGGAACACTGTGTAGACATTAATCAAGTCCTGCATTGTCTCAAGCACACGGGAGCTACCTTATCTGCAAAGAAACTGTTTTTATGTGTTCCTGAAGTACTAGTTGTCAGACAACTTTGCAACTATGAAGGACACATCCCCAATAAAACAAAGGTCTCAAAAATTAGGAACTGGCCACCCTGCAAGACATGAACCAAAGTTCATGCTTTTCTTGGAACTGCAGTAACCATTCACAATTGGATTAAAGACTATGCATCCATCACTCACCCATTGATGAACCTCACCCGTAATAACATCAAGTTCAAGTGGGACAGTGCAGCGCAAATTGCTATGGATACCATCAAGAACACCATCATTCACTCACCTGCCATCCATCCTATTGATTATTCCTCATGTCACGAAGTTATACTGGCGGTAGATTCATTGCACATAGCCTGTGGATGGATTTTGTTGCAACTGGACAGCGAAAAACATTGACGACCTGCCAGATTCGGGTCGATCACCAAGAAAGCCAATACTCACAGGCTAAGATCGAACTCTATGGTCTTTTCAGAGTCCTCAAAGCAATGAAAGTATGGCTCATCGGACTCAAACATTTCACTATTGAAGTAGATCAAAAATATATTTGTGGTGTCATGCATGGTATGTGATTCATACCATGACTGATACAACAAAAGAGTGATAGAGTATCTTACCTTCTGTCACTCAGTTACCTTATCATTTTTCCCTGATTCATTTCCTTCTATTTTGTTTCACATGATTCAGACTGATTTCCCCTGTGTTGTCTATTTTATTTTATTTAGTTCTGTTCTCTCTATTTGTTTCTCTCTGACTGTTTGGCTATCAGATTTGTTTGTCAGCACCTCATGTGACTGGGAAATAATCTGATTTGTAACAACATTCACATGACTCATCATGTTTTGTCATGCTTTGTAAGATCTTTGTAAGACTCTGAACCTTATTTATAATCTACTTAGTAAGAAAGATGATTCAGCACAGCCAAATGGTATGTTTGTCAGCAAACTGCATGACACATCCATGTGATGACTCATGAGCTTTCAATCATGCTTTGTAAGATTACACTGTATATTAGTAAGGAGCTGATTCAGCACCTGGTTTGTAAGCTACATTCTTACCAATCTGTGTGATGACTCATGCTTAGTAAGAGGGTTTTCAAAAGGTATATAAACCCCTCGTTTTCACCTATGTAATATAACTTTCTATTTTTCATTCTTCTCTCAAACTGTGAGAGTACGTAAGAATAAAAGTGCAGGCATTATGTCCTTGAAATAAGCTTAAGATATTTCATCTTATCTTTTCTGAAGCATTGTATACTACTTATACAAGCTTTCATTATTCTATTCACAAAAGATTGTATACTGCGACTTATACAACTTTTGCTATTTCTATCATTCAGGCCAAGCCTTTACATATATATATTTAAGAACTCTCTGTTTCATCATAAGGAGAGACACGAACAAGGAGAACACAACAAAGTTGAGACAGACTTTCATAGGTTGAAACATGACCTACTAGGGTGGAACATACCTATCACTTTTCATTATCCAGCTATGCTACACATCTGCATTGTACTTCCACAAGAAGAGGACAACAAACTAAATCCTCCCAAGAACTCGCCATGTTACCTCCCACAAAAACTAGAAAAGTTGGAGACCATGCACTTAAGGACTGGCAAGAAGTCTTCACCGTGTATAATAGTGTTGTCATTATACACAACATTCATATAAGACCCTTAAGTACCAAGACAGTGGTATGCTTAACAATCCTGATATCCAACCTAATGACACTGTCAACCACTGAATTGTGGGAATATCCCTCTTTGACTTCACCCTTTGACATGTTCCCAGAAACAAGTATGTCACAGTGGATGGCCTATCTCGACAACCTGCAGCACCTGAAGATGATGAAGATAAGGATGAGATGACAGAAGATGTTGAAGAGTGGGTCAATGAAATGTTGGGATGTAGCATATGGGTAGCAAGAGAAGGAAGCAGGGTGGTTTCTAGAATAACAACCCACAGCGCTTTACTGACACAGTCAGCACCAGACAAAGAATTTTCTTTACCTTACAACAACTTAACCAAAACCTGGGACAAAGAACTACAAATCATCCACAAGTAACTCACTTCCTTATCCTTCCCATCCTCAGTATCACCATCATCCCAGAATCACCCTCATAAATGAGCCACTCAATTCTTCAACCAGGGGAACCACCTGTGGCAAAATGAATCAAGTGGTCATCATCAGCTTGTTCTCTTTGGCTCGGTGTAGAGACTCCCATCTCCACAAGCACTTCCCTCCTGAATTCTCTCACTTTTCCTACAAACTCCAGCTCTAATCCATGGGATACGTCTAGCGCACTTAGCACACTTAGTTTAATTTGCAGATTTGGCGCATGGCCTTGCGCATCCGCGCTCGCACTGTTCGTATACTCGTCCACCCAGTCCATCCCATGTCCTCAGATTTCCATT